CCCCCCCCCCCCCCCCCACCCTGACCTCCTCAGCCTTGAGGCTGGGCTCCACAATGAGACAGGGCTTTCCCTTTGCAAGCCCTGCCTTGGTAGTCTGTTCTTCTGGCAGCTCTATGCAGGGGTCACCTTGTTACTCCCTGGAGGAACCTGTCAGGTTCACAGAGGAAAGATCAGACGTGGCAGTTATTTGCAAAGGAAAACAAATGCTGCTTAATTACATTTTGGAGCAAGGAGGTCAAGTCACCGAATATGAGTTCTAACCTAATCCAGTATGAGCACATCTTTGCGGTGCACTTGACACATACACACTTAAACTTCTTGGACATTTACTTAAGTTTGTACTTAAACAGTCAAGTACAAAACTTTTGGAATGCTTCATCAAGACTCAGAATTCTTTTTCCTGATTCTGGGATTTGGACTCAGAGCTTTCAGAACTGCAGGCACTCTACCATGTGAGCCATGCCTCCAGCCCTAGAAATTTTTGGCTACTTATTTCTTTAGCAAATTTAGGTTTTCTTGGTAGGGAACTTAGACCGCTTCCCCTTCGTAGTCTCTTTAAAGAATGTCTGACTATGCAGAGGGGGAGGAGCCTTTATGTGTGTTGAATCCAAAAGCAGCATTGTTTCACTCTGCAAAGATCTTTGTGTTTAAAGGTAGGATATAAAGGCTGTGCTTTGCTGTATTTAATTTCATCACAATAAATCATTCAGAAGTTTGAAAATGTGAATCTATTAATGCTAAAGTATTCTACCTTTACAGAGCATTCGGAATTGAACAGTAAAAGATTAGCTCATGTATGAGAACTACCTGGATGATCATTTATCTGTGTAGTATAAAACTGTTGATTCTCTTGACCTTTTAAAAAAAAAATAGATAATCCTCAGTGAAGAGACTACAGCAGTGATCCAAAGTTGAGAGAATGTTGTAGGAATTTGAGTGTAAAAGCTGATAGGCAGAGAAGCAGCTCTATTAAAAACAGCCTGTAAAGTTGGATTGAAAATCAATATTGAAATCTTTAAGAATTCAGAGTAGTTGTGGAAGAAAGATGGCTGCAGCAGGGGTACAGGAATGGGAGGGCGTGGGTGACAGGAGAAAGAGTGAAATGGAACTATGTAGGCACCCAGGAACCCAATAAACCTGAAAGTAAACTTCAAGAGATAGAAGCTGATTACAGAAGTAAACTACATTATAACGAAATAAGTAGCTATAAACAAATTTAAGTTCTGAACTTTGAAAGCAAATACAGTGTGGAATACTATTAACATATAATCAGTACCTGTTCCTTTTATGTACATAATACTATTTCATACAAGAAAACCCTCAGTTTCAAATATCCTAAAGTGTTGTTTATTTTAAAGTCATCACTTCCCATTCTCCCATGGCTTTTGGACATTCAAAAGCACATCCTTCCACCTACGGAAAACTTTTACCAATACGAAATTTCCACCTCACTGGGGTGGTCTGTCATTTCCTAATGCATTGTGGAAAGTTGTTTCTACCCTTACAAAGAATAATTCATGTGCACTTAGATCATCTTGGGAGTCAGAAATATGCATCCACTGATTATTCTCATAGGTCTTAGAAGAAGGTGACAGAAATTTGAACTAAAAGTTCAAATTTTTGTATTCATTTGTGTATCCATCTAATGAAAAACATTAAAACCACAGCACCAGTTTTAATGTTTCTTCACATTCTTACAGAGACCACCACCCACCACTTGTCTTCCAACCTTACAAGTGAACCTAACAGCACTGTGAAACCATCCACTTCAGCTCCATTGGTCTCAAGGAGCAAGATGTCTACCACCATGAAACCCATAGCAACGTCCAAAATGGTGACACCAGGGATCTCAACAAATGCGACTTCTACAACTATAAAGTCTACAACCAAAACAACAAGTGTTGCACAAAACATAACCCAGATGTCAACATCCACGGTGACCACAGCCCATAGTAGTTTGCTGACCTCTCTAACAGGTATGTATTAAGACTGACTCACTTATCCTACGCTGCAAATAAGGTAATGATTACATGTAGGTCATCATTCTTCAAAATAAATACAGGAACTTTCTGTACCTACCTTCCCCTCAACCCCACTTCAGTGTTCTTACACAGAAATTTGTAAAGGTTTAATTACAGTGTTTTTTAAGAACACTAATGCCAGTTTTGTTTTGTTTTTCCTAGTCACAGCAACTATTCATTCTAAAGAAAATAAAGGATCGAAATTTGATACTGCCAGCTTTGTTGGTGGTATTGTATTAACGCTGGGAGTTCTATCTATTCTTTACATTGGATGCAAAATGTATTATTCAAGAAGAGGCATTCGGTACAGAACCATGTAAGTTTTGATTGGCTGTTTCTGCATGTCTTTAATTATCAATCGCAAAACTTGAGTCGGGCCAGTGTTTATCTCAAGTATAGATTGATGTGTTATATTCCCTATGTCCAAAGTTTTGCTTATATAATATACATTTCTCATTATGCTCACAAATGGAAATGGGTGTATATACCTACAAAAAAAGTGTTAATTTTATGATGTCACACTTTTTTTTAACCAAAGTTTAACCAACCTTTTTACTTGCTTATACCACTAATCACAAGAAATAATCAGGTCTCATCACTCACTGATCTTGTAGGTATGTCTTGTGTCTGTTCATGGCACTAAAAAGTATTCTTGTAAAAAACAGTGTTTCTCCTCTTTATGACAAAGACATAGAAACTAAGGAATTGTCTGACAGCTTCATTTTCCCTGATAATTTAAACACTACACATGCACTCATACACACACACACACACACACACACACACACACACACACACACGTCTGTTTAGATGAGTGTTGACAGGCTCTGTCAACAAGCTGCATTTACCCTCCACACAGTTCTGTGGGTCTTTCCATCTCACAGCTTTTGTTGCTGTAGTGTGTTTGGGGAGAGGGAAAGCCTAAGTACATAGTTTTAGCCTTTATGGGCTAGGTTTTTTCTCACATACACGACCAGATAGTACTGTATGCCCTGTGAAGAAGTCAGTGTCCAGAGAACTGTGCACAGAGCACTGACTCTACTGGGGCCCTCATTGTCACCCAGAAGTCAGGGGTACAGATACCATATTTGGCCAAGTGTAAGTTCACCCCGTGCTTTTTTGTTTTTTTCATTCTTAAACATCTCTGAAATTATGATGCATCTGTTGCATCCTATGTGTTGTAAATGTAACTTGCTGTGCTCTTAGCCCAAAGTCCATTAGAAAGCCAGCAGTTCCTTCCCGGCTATAAAAACGCCATTCCTTACGTAAGGACTTGACACTCATCCTATGAAAGAAACCGATCTGTATGCAGTATTAATGAGCATTTCTAATTTTCATTTATTGAATAATAGCACTGATTAAAATTTTAGTTCCTATGTTTCTTAGAGTTGCATGAGAGACTGCAATGAAATGACTAAAAGATAGGGCTTGAAGCAAACAAACTGTATGCTCTACCACCTGAGCCACGGACCCCTTTTGACACCCAGCCTGGTTGTTTTCCTTTTAAAGAGGGTTTGTAATAGTATAAATTATGTTGGCTTAACTGGTGAAAAGTCAGAGCAGAGATCCGAGTGCAGGTCTGTAACAGCCTCAACCATGACTGTAAATTAGATACAGTGACAATTCATTTTGATTGTAAAGCTTGAAATTGTTCTGGCATTACTTTGCTTACAAATATGAATATTTTGTGGTTTTGACGCAAATATGAAACAGTAATTTTAACGTTTTATGTGTTTCAGTGATGAACATGATGCCATCATTTAAGGAAATCCACGGTCCAAGGAAAGAAGTCTGCAGCCTATCAATTGATTTGGTTTATTTTTAGTTTAAAACAATATTCTCTTCTTGAAATTAATGTAAGCAGGTCATGCGTGCAGTGTACAGTGTATATAAACGTGTAGAAGGGCATGGTTTGCATATTTAGGTATTTGGAGCTAACGTAGTTCATACAGTGATGCTGTTCACTTTTAGCAAATATGCAGACAAGACCTATCTTTTGTGTGTGTGGCATTGGTCACATAGGACCAGCGATTGAAAGACATCACAGTTAGAGGGCAGCATGCCATCTGGTGTACAGTCAAGGAGCTTGTCACAACACTCAGGATTTTCATGTTTCTTCAGTACTTTTCAGAGCTAGGTATGTCCTAATTACTCAATGCCACACAACAGAAATTATCCCATTGGGAAGACTGGGTCTGAAGCATAAGTTAAAGTGTCAGCATTTATGTTTCAAAGTAGTTGGTCTAGCTACAGAATCCATACTCCCCCCAAAATAAAATCTTCAAATAAAGCCCCAGACTGCTTTGCCCTAGTAGAGACCCAGTGGAGAGCTGCATTTTTACTAGCTTTTGAGCAATGTTAGTTGTTTTTTTTCTCTGTATAATTCAGGCAAACTGCAGTGCTTAACATAATGTCTTAAAGATGCAGATAAAAGACTGGCATTATAGGAAAAACTCCTCAGTTAGATTATTTGCTACTGTGAAAAATATTGTCACCACTGGAAATTGCTTTTATTTCATATTCACTTGTCAATTTTAATTTTATATTCAGTGAATATTTTTTAAGAAATGTGGAGCTGCTTGTATCTGGAAATTTTTAGTGGAATGTAAAAATAACTTTTTTTTAAAAGCCCTTTATATGATTTCCAAAACAATATTTACAAGTCTGTAATCATCAAAACTATAGATTAATGCTGTTTTTATTAAACCAGGGATTGTGAGGTCTCCCCAGGGTACTAAACCTGCAGGCTGAAAATGCTGCATTTTTGTACACTGTCAACTTTACTCAGATTTGGGGAAATGACATTTTTATACTTTATAATGTATTTTGGAATAAAGTGTTGCATTTTCCTTCTTTAGGTATCCCTGTAGACCACTCCTCTTCCTCTATTGCTGGAGGAGAGCTAATCTCAGATGCACTATGTTAAGAGAAAAAGCACAGTGTTAGAGAAACACCAATGTTAGCCAATACACTAACACTGGAGTGTTTTTAGTTTTACAGTTTATATTCCAACACTCAAACTCAGGGTCAAGTTTTAATAAAAGAGGTATTTAGTTACTAAATACCAAGATGACATTTCTGTCCTAGAGGGCCAATGTAAATCACACCAATTTCTGAAAGTCTGAAAATGAGCTAACATGTCCTAACGGATACACGCCTACACTTAGTAAAACTTTTATGAGCATGCTTAGATACCAAGATTTTGATGTAAAAGGTAATGTTGACGTCTGTGCATCGGCCAGTTGGTGTGATGGACATGGATCTGTCCCATCTGTAAACTGAGTGTGGCGGAAACTGGAATACGTATGGCTAGATTGATTTGAAAAGAAATGTGGGCGGATGGGTAAATTGTATGTTTCTAGCTTGGCTCGAACTGGTTGTGCAACCACTGCTTTCATTTGTTTGCAAGATGGAGGTGAGGTGTACAGTGATGAGGGCCTTTGCAGTTTAACTTCTCTTGGAACGTCAGTGGCAGCCTGAAGTTTTTCTGGAATACTTGTTTCTTCAGCACTTTGAAGATTTGCCTTTGCAGTACCCGCTGCTTTTTTGGCTAGGAAGTAATGTAGTCAGATCTTTTCTCTGTATATAAGCGCTGTGATTCGTTACTGTCAGTGCAGTTGTTTTTATCTGCAGGAATTGAAAAAGGCAGTAATGAAAACAACAGTACTTTGAAACACACTTACGTGTCTTCCTAGTTAGGGTTAACCAAACGCTCAGTCTTCTTTTCATTCCTTGACAATATACTTACTTGAAGATAAAAACAATCCAGATGTATGTCTAAAAACCAGGCAGAGGCCACTCTGGTTTTTAAAAATCCATAAAAAGGATAATTCAAATATAGACAAATGAGACAAATATATTGGCAGTATATTACAGTAGTGATAATTTTGTATTTTCCAAAAAAAATTAAAGCAAATTCCTGTTACCCTTTTTTCTATGATAATGGCCAGCTTTTGGTATTTCATTGTTACTGAGGTCTATTTTTAGAATAAAACCTGTTTTCCATTTAACATTTTTAGAGTTTTCTTTTTCATGTAGATAGGCTTGGACTTTATTTCTGCAGTGACATACTTAGAGTTGAACAGAAATAAAAGGCCTACAGGTACAGCAAAGCCAGGTTCTCGGGCTGGGTCAAAGAGGTCCCTCTCCAGCAGGCTCACAGAGAAGCATCCACTCCTTTCCACCAGTTTTGGAATTTTGCCGGCTTTGCGCTCAGTGATTTCTTCAGAACCCTTAGGTGGCAGATCATCTTCATACTGGCTGTCCTTTGTTTGAACCACGAATGCACTTTCAGCATGCCTCGACAGTTCACCTCCTCAAGGTGCCATGTCCCCAGCCTTTATTCCCAGCTTTTCCTGAAGGGCCTGGAAGCTGCAGTTGTGCTGGCTTCTGATTGTACATCACACACTCAGTGGACGTCCTTGTAAAACTTCTGCAGCCTGTTTGTCAAAGAGGTAGGCACCCAGCCACATTCATTGTGCCTTCAGACTGAGTCGAGTCCAGAACTAGAGCACAGCTGCTGCTTTGTGTCCTCCTGGCTAGTTTTTTATTAGAGACTATCCTGCAATTTCTGGTGTGAAAACAAATGGAGTTTGTGTTATTTTCGGGAGTGTCTGCACAAATGAGGCTCTTCCAGTGCCATTTTGCACAGCTGTCTTCCTCCTGCAGCTGTAGTTGCAGCCCTCCCTGGGGGTTTGTCATTGCTGCTACCTGCTGTCCTGTCCAGAGCCCTTGGTTCTCCTGTGCCTCAAACTAAGGCAGGCACAGGAGTGGCCACTACTTACCCCAAACCTCCTTACCCATTGTGCAGTGAGGCCAGCTGCCTCAGCCAGACCCTAACATTTGGTTTTGCCTCATTTTATTAAATTCAAGAAAAATTAACAGAAAAGCCAAAAATAAAAGGGCAGATTTCAAGTGCTGAGCTGACATTATAAAGAGGGATTCTAGGTGTGGTTGCCTAGATATGTTGACAGCACTATCTAAAACTTTGTACAAAGGCAAATTCTTAGGACCCTGCCCAGACCTATTGAATCAGAAACTGTAGGTGCTGCAACCCAGCAAAAAAATCTTATACACCAGAGTCTGAGAACCACTGGCTTTCAAGTGAACCTGCCTTTATTTTGTTGGGCAGAAGTTTTTAAATAAAAAGGCTACAAATACATTATTTTCCACATCCCTTCTCTTCATGTCTAGCTGTAATGTATATCTGAGAATAAATGAAGTATCTGCTATTAAAAGTGTGCCATCATAAGGAAATCCTGTGTGTAATAAGGTGCCCTGTAGGGAAGCCTGATGTCAGAGTGCGTGGGTTTAAATGTTTTACTGCTTTCTTGCTCTAGGACCTTGGGGAAGCTGCTCCTCTCCTCCATGTATTTGACACCTAAGATCAAGGGGCTTGTGCCTCGTCACATGTGGAAAGGCAAAGAGCAAGAGGGAACGGTGGCATCCATAGCACCCGCCTGACCTAAACACCTTACCTCTAAAGCTCCCATTTCCGATACCGTCATGTTGGCGATTCAATTCCAAAATAAGTTCTGGAGGAGACCAACATTGAAGCTGTAGCAGATCCTGGGTGGCACAGAGTAATGCTTAAAAGTCTTACTAATACAGCCAAAGGACAATAAAAGCATCTTTTGTTCACAATTCTCCCCCGACCACACACTCGTTGGCTTCACAATGGGCAGTTTTCCAACTCTGTCTACACTTGAGGGTGTCTGTTTGAAGAGAAAAAGGCGATCTTACATTTCAGCTAATCACTTTCTTTGATGTGTTTTTGAGACAGGGTCTCACTATATAGCCCAGGCTGCTCCCCACTTCCTGAGTGCTGAGATTATAAGCATAAACCACCACACCTGTCTGCTAATCACTTTAAAAAAACTTATATATGCCAAAAGCCTGAATAAATCAGAAATGTTGACTAGTGACAACACAGACATGTTAGAGGAGATCCCAGCCTTCACCACTCTCCCCACCCCATACATAAGGAGACAGTTATTCATAAACCAAAACAGCTGTGACATACTCAGAGGCCCACTTAAGAATCTGCAGCAACACAGTGGAGTGAAAGAGTACCCTACACACCGGTTTGATCAGCATTTTCATGTACAGGGAAACAGCTAAGAACAAGCGAGAAGCACATGTGTGAGCTTCAGTCACCTGCATGCTCCACAGGGGACATCTTTTGCCACTGTAATAACGGCCATTTTTGCCAGACCCACAGCTGCTATTTCCCCAGCCCTGCATAGACACAAACTGTCTTCCGTGCAGACGCCCACACTCCAAATCTAGGCTCCATTCCCATAGCAAGCCAGCTGCACTGTGGGCCTCAGAGCCAAGTCTGTGTGTCTGCGCACCAGATGCCAGGCCACCTGCCACTGAGGAGCTGCCACAGAACCTGGTCCTCCAACATCGAACACTGAAGTAAGCTAGCTTCTGGGGTCCTGGAGTCAATAAGAATGCACCCACACTATGGACACCAGCTCAGTTAACACAGAGAACTAGACTTCACCTAGACCACACAGCCACAGTGGCCATATGTGCAAACACATGCCCTTGTTCGAGCTCTCGCTGCTTCAAAATACCCATACCTCACATTCCATTGTCAACTCAGCAGCAGATAATCCTGTTCCCTGGACTGCCATTATCACTTTGGATCTTAGAGCCATGGTCCCCTCTCATATGCCCAAGCTTCAGGCTTTGGACCAATAGCTACTTCACAAGCACCACTCCTCAGATACCAGTGCCACTGCAAGTGGGGCCTACAGGCTGCACCTGGAGTCAAGAAGCAGCTCAGCTACCACTTCCCCAGTGGAAGAAAAAGACCAGGACTCCAGCAGACCTCACCACCCAAACCCCAGAAAACTTTCACAGATACCAGGTAGACTACTGAGGATCCTACAGTGTTTGTCACAACTCAACTCAGCCTGCTGCACCCTCCCAAGGGAAAGTCTCTAAAACCAGCCTACAAAGTTTAGAAGAGGTGAAGAGCCCCACCAAATGCACAGAAATCAACATAAGGCAGCAGGAAACATGACAAACTAAAGAGACAAGCAAGCACCAAGTGAGCACAATTTCCCAGGTGCTGACTCCTAAAGAATTCAGAATGTTTTAAGGAAAATCAGCAATCAAGAAAATACAGAGTGGGCTGCTGGGAACATGACTCAAGTGACAGAGCTCTTGCTGCAAGCACAGGACCTGGGTTCAATCCCCAGTACCACTAAAAAAATGTATATTATATATACACACACACACACACACATATATATATATACATGTATACACAACATGAATATACAGAAAATCAGTTTGACAAAAAATAAGACAAATGAGAAATTTAACAAACTGAAATCATAAAAAGAAAATCTAGAACCAAAATACAATGAATAAAATGAAAAATACAATAGGGCATATGTGTTAGCTTTACGTTGTTGTAACACAATACCTGAGAAGGGTTTACTTTGTCTCACAATTTGGGGGTTTTGTCCATGGCTGATTAACCTGTTGCTTTTGGCCTGTGTTCAAGCAGTACATCATGATGAACACACATGGCAGAGAAAGCTGCTCACCTTGCTGCAGTTAGGAACAAAGAAAGGAAGGGGCCGAGGTCCCAATCCCCCTTCAAGGGCAAAACCCCTTCTTCCTCCCACTAAGCCTCATGGTTCCACCACCTCCCAATAGCACCATGAGATGGGGACCAAGCCTTTAACACATGGGCCTCTGGGGACACTTTACAAAACTACAGCATGTCAACACAACTGACCGACCAGAGAAAAGAGCATGAGAACTTGAAGACATTTTTTTAAAAGTACAACTGTTCCTTGGTATCTGCAGGGGATTGGTTTCAGACTACCACCCCGAAATACCAAAACCCACAGATGATCAAGTCCTTTATAAAAATAGGCATATTTGCATATGATCTATGAAATCCTCTTGTAGACTTGAAATCATCTCGATTACTTATATTACGTAATACAATGCAAATGCAATACAGTTACGCTATATTTTTATGGTATAATGACACAAAGTCTGTACATACTGAGTACAGTTTTTGTATTTTCAATCACAGATGTGGCAGCCATGGGTGCAGAGGGCCAAAAGGAGAACAAGATAAAAGAGAATGAAATCCTATAGAATTCCTAAGACAGTATGAAGACAGAAAATATTCAAATTATGAGCTTTAAAGAAGAAAAAGAGGTAATCCCAGCTACTGAGGAAGCAAAGATTGGATCTGGGCTGGATTGGCCAGCCTGGACAAAAAGTTAGTGAGATCCCATTTCAACAAATAAGCCAGTTGTCACGGTGCATGTTTGTAATCCTACCTACATGGGAGACAGAGATAGGAAGACTGTGATCTGAGGCCAGCCTGGCCAAAAAGCACAAGACCCTATCAATAATAATAACCTAAACAAAAAGGGTGTGGAGGTGTGGCTCAAGTGGTCCCAAGTTCAAATACCAGTACTGTGAGGGAAAAAAAAAGTACAGAAAGATGCAGTTACAAATCAGATTCAATCCAAGTAAGATTATGCCAAGACATAATCAAAGACAGAGGACCCTGAAAGCAAGAGAAAGAAGCATATCACATGTTAGAGAACTCCAATTTTGCCATTAGGAGATTTCACAACAGAAATCTTATGGGCTAGCAGAGAATGAGATTATAAATCTAAAGTTCTGAAAGAAGAAAAAAAAAGGGCCAAACACACTCCATCTGGCAAAGCAGCCCTTGAGAAATGGAGAAGACCTACCCAGACAAAAGCTGTGGGTGGCCATCACCACCGAACCTGCCTAAAAGCATGCTGAAGGAGGAAGTTCTTCATGCTGAAAGATAAGGATCAGTAACATGGAAACATCAATCACTGACAAAGGTAAATAGTCAGATTCATAACACTTGAATGCTTTAATGTAATTGCATAAATCACATCTACAGTCTTAAAAGACAAAACTATTAAAAATAATAGGTACACCAATTTGTTCAGGGACATGATAAAAATCATAACATCAAAAATATAAAATGGGGGTAGACTAAAAGTAGTTACTTTATATAACAAAATTTGTTCAGTTTGAAATATCCTGTAATTACTATAAAATGACTTCAGTGAGCCTCATGGTTACCACAAAGGAAAAGTCAACAATAGATGGACAAAAGGTAAAAGTAAAGAATCAAAGCATACCACAAATCCTCCACTCACATAGGGAGATAGCAAAAGAAAGAAACCCTCTGCAAAATACAAGATAGTTAAAATTAAATACAGGCTGAGTACCTCTTATCTGAAATCCCAACTCTTGGGAGGTGGAGACAGGAGTGGGAGTTCAAGGCCAGCCTGAGCTACAGAGACCCTGTCTCAAAATACCAAAGGCTGGAGGTGTAGCTCAGCAATGTGTGTTTGCCCAGCACAAAGAAGGGAAGGTCCTGGGTTCAATTCCCAGTGCCACAAGCAAAAAAAAAAAATTTAAGTGTTTTGGATTTTAGAATACTTACATATACATAACGAGGTATATTGGGAATGGAACTCAAATCTACACAGGGTTGTTTTCTTACACTTAATCTAAGTATTTTACACAATATTTTTAGTGCACCTGTGTTAGGACTGCAGCATGTCACAAGAGGTCAGGTATAGTGTTTTCCACCTGGCATGTCAGCCTGTATGTACCCACCATTGGAGCACCTAAGTGTTTGTTGTAATGCACACCAAAAAGGTAGGGAATTTGAATAACATACTCTCAACAATGGATAGGTCATTGATCCATTGGATGAACAGAAATACTGAAAACTAGATCCATGTTTATCACCCTGTACTAGTATCAACTCAAAGTGGATCAAGGACCTTAATATCTGACCTGAAACTGAAGTTAGTACAGGTAGGAGCAGGAAACACTCTGGAAGCAATAAGTATAGGCAAGGACTTCCTCAGTAGAACCCCAGCAGCCCAGCAACTAAGAGAAAGGATGGACAAAAAAACTTCATAAAATTAAAAAACTTCTGCACAACAAAAGAAATGGTCTCTAAACTGAAGAGACCACCCACAGAGTGGGAGAAAATATTTGCTGGCTATACATCAAAGGACTGATAACCAGAAAAGCTCAAAAAACTGAACTCCCCCTAAGTCAATGAACCAACAAAGAAATGAGCAACTGAACTAAATAGAACTTGTCAAAAGAAGAAATTCAAATGGCCAAAAAACACATGAAAAAATGCTCATCACCTCTAGCCATAAAGGAAATGCAAATCAAAACCACACTAAGATTCCACCTCACCCATTAGAATAACCATCATTAAAAACACCACCACCAACAGGTGTTGGCGAGGATGTGGGGAAAAAGGAACCCTCTTACACTGCTGGTGGGAATGTAAACTAGTACAACCACTCTGGAAAAAAATTTGGAGGCTTCTTAAAAAACTACACATTGATCTACCATTTGATCCAGCAATACCACTCTCGGGGATATACCCAAAAGACTGTGACACAGGTTACTCCAGAGGCACCTGCACACCCATGTTTATTGCGGCACTATTCACAATAGCCAAGTTATGGAAACAGCCAAGATACCCCACTACTGACGAATGGATCAAGAAAATGTGGTTATTTATGCACAATGGAATTTTACTCAGCCCTGAAGAAAAATGAAATATCATTTGCAGGTAAATGGATGGAACTGGAGAACATCATTCTGAATGAGGTCAGCCAGGCTCAGAAGACCAAAAATCGTATGTTCTCCCTCATATATGGACTTTAGATCTAGGGCAAATACAGCAATGTTGTTGGACTTGGGTCACATGACAAGGGGAGAGCACATATGAGAGGTATGGGGATAGGTAGAAAACCCAAAACATGAAAGCGTTTGATGTCCCCACTGCAGAGGAGCTAATATAGAAACCTTAAAGCTACAGAGGTCAATATGAAAAGGGGATCAGGAACCAGTGTAAAGATCAGTTAGAGATGAATCAACTTGGGTCGTAACACATTTGTAAATGGAAGCAGTGTTAGGAATCTCTTTGTATAACTATCCTTAACTCAACTAGCAAAAATGCTTTGTCTTTCTTATTAGGCTTATGTCTTCTCTTCAACAAAATTAAGAGATAAGGGCAGAACAGGTTCTGCCTGGAAGCGATGGGGAAGAGGGGGAGAGGATGGGGGCGGGGGGCAGGGGGGGAGAAATGACCCAAACAACGTATGCACATGTGAATAAATGAATAAAATAAAGAGTCTAAGAATACAGGTGGACCCATGTACAAATTTTACTTTGCAGAGTTGCTGAAAGAATTACAGCTAATTTGTTTTAAAATACCTGGCACCTGTATTAGTATTAGTTTGCTGTATTAGTTTGCTGGGCTGGTCAACCTACAAAAATCTATTTTCTCAGACCAAGGTGTTGGTAGGCCTGTTTCTTCAGAGGCCTCTCTCCTTTCCATACAGATGGCCACCTTTCTCCATGTCTTCACATGGTCATCCCTTAGTGTCTGTATTCAAATTTCCTCTTCTTAGGACATTAATCATACTGAATTAGAGCTCACTGACATGGTCACATTTTACCTTAACTGCCTCTTTTAAAAACCTATTTCCAAGTTACAGTCACATTCTGAGTTACTGAGAATTAGGATTTTGAAATTAGAATTTTAGTGGGAATAAAAATTCAGCCCAGAGGGCTGGAGGCTTGACTCAAGTGCTAGAGTAAGCCCTGAGTTCAAACCCCAGTACCACCAAAATAAACCAAAAAAAAAAAAAAATCAGCCAAGAGCACATCTCAAATGTTTAAAGCATCTACCACTGTGCTTGGTGTACAGTGGGTTCTCAAAAAAGTTATTAAGCAAAAAACAAAAAAAGAAAACAAGTTTCTAAAAAGATTTAGTAACATTCCATGGTAACAAGGGGGAATGTTTTTTTTTTTCTTTTGCAGTGCTAGGGATCGAGCCCAGGGCCTTGCACATACTTGGCAAGTGTCCTACTACTGAGTTTTATTATTTAGATACAATGGGTGCTGCTGAAATAAAAAATGCTAAATCTGAATCCTTGAGAGACCAATAATCCCTTCGGGAATCATAACAGGTCCAAGAAGGACAGAAAAGTTAACAATGTTTTTTTGCCTACTAAATTTTGGGGACAAAAAATTTCTTACATGCCCTCTATACTAGTAGGGAGAGACTTTCTTTTGCTGACTAGAGGTCTTGAAGCCAGGTGGATGCATCTGGACTTCATACATGTACCAGACATCAGGACAGAAACAAGTCTGACAGAAGAAATTAGAGAAAAAAGAAAATTTCCTGTAGTGTAATTTCTATTTTTAAAAAAATCTAAAAGATGTGCCTTATGCAACGAGAAGAAAAACGGAGTTTTTTGTATATTAAATCTCCTTTTCCACCTGGTCTCATAGTCTGCAGTAGAGCTAGATCTGGGAACGGTCAAATAGGATTGTGCCCAAAAATGAGGTACTTACCTTTGTGTCCTACCTCCTCATTTACACTACTGTTTGAAAGTCTTAAGGCAGATTTACCGCATTTACTTATTAGAGGTTTTTTTGATATGGACTCAGTTTCATACAACGTTGTATCTACATTATTACAGAAAGCAACTACAGATTGTTGTCTAAAGTAATTGTCATAAATCGTGGTATTATTTTAATAAGCACTTCTTAGTAAGTTGTTCCATGAATTCAATTTTACACTTAATAGTAACTGAATGCAACGAAGACATGAAAATTACTTTTTAATCAGAGTAGACAGCACATTTCAATGATGCCTTTTTAAAGCACTTTATTAAGATGTTTCTCACAAAATATGGAGAATCTTGTTTACCAGTAACAGAAAAATCCTTATTTTACATAATGAAAAGCACCAAAGAAGACGTCAGCACTGAAACTGATGAATCTCAGTTACTGGTTTCCAGCTCTTCTAAACCACACTGCTCTTTGTACTCAAAGCTTTCACAGAGAACAGCATCCAATTAACTCCTGGAATGGAACATAACAAGCACTGCACACTTCACTCCCCTTACATTCATTCACACAACATACTAAAATAAACCTTCCATTATAACCAAACAGATTAGGATGAAATATATAATACTGTCCCTCATGAAAAAAGATTAGTACCAAAGCAGAGAACATAAGTTTACGAATTGAAAGAATTGGTAATTCCTTTTTGTTTCATATGGCTTCCAACGCTCAGCAGTATGGGCCTATCCTTCTTTTATGAGAGAAATGTCCGAACAGTTCCCTTGATTATGCCCCTGCAGATAGGGCATTTTCTTAGAGAAGGAGCACACTCCTGGCACACTACCAGATGACCACAAGGAATGAATACAATAGAAACTTCTTTGTCCATACACACTTTACAAGTCCTTTCTTCTTGCAATCTCCTCAACTGTTCTTCCAGTGAAAGACCTAAAAACAAAAAGAACTTTAATGATAGTCAGTTTCTACTTTACCTCCGTTAAAAAAAAAAACAGAGATATCACATTGGTGTTAAGTCTTAATTCTATTTTACCTGAGACATCTTCTGTGGGAATATACTTCATATTCTTTTCCACTAAGAAAGAAAGCATACAAAAAGTGTCATTCTGCCAAATACAAAACTTACACGTACTACTTACTTTTTTTTAACCTACTACCTACTGATGATATAGATTCTAGGTATAGATTATCAGCAGCTATTACATTTAAGCATACCACCTAGACAATAAAAGCCATCACTTTTTTGGAACAAGTGAAATGCATAGATTATAGTTTGTTAACTAGACTTTGGACAAACAAAAAGATGAACATAACCTTAGGATTTCTAAACAATTTTCACAACAAACTCACCAAATAAGTTCTCGTGTAATGAAGAGTCAATTTCTTTGAGACAGCTTTTAAAGATATTGGCCGCAGCATTTCCTTTAACTAAGATGGTATCAATCAGTTCTCTTGCTTGTAAAGGTATCTGTGTTTTTTGTTTAATAATATCATGCTCCTGTTTACTAATTATATTGGCCTTTAAAAGATCATCCAGGATAGGAAGGACACATGTCAGCTGTTGGAAGAGAGCCATTCTATTCTTCCGAATTAATGACAAGTCATCTTCATTTAAAAACAAGAAAAGAAAAAAGCCATTAGATTTTAAACACTTCTAACAAACAACCCTACAAACAATTTAGTCAGTAAATAGATCATCAAAAAGAAGAAAAAAAGTGATTTGTTTGCACTTTGAAGTACTCGTCTGCCATCTGGAAAGCCAGAAGATAATTTTTAAGTATATACTAACACATCCTAGACCCTGCTTCTCCGTTATTCTATTGAAAGTAAGTAGAAATTTTTACTATCCTCTAAAAATTTCCCCTCTGTATTTCCTCCACCATGGAATTACATCACTTTTCTTTTTTATGAGCACCTGCAGATAAATTGTCTCATTTGATATATCCTGTCAATTAAACAAGGCAAACATTACTATCTCATTTCCAGATAGGAAATGGAATGAGTGGCTTTTCCAGGTCACAGAGTAAGCTGCAAAAACAGCAGACCAGTGTATTTTTTAACACCCCACACTTGCTGCAGAGCTTGACCTGCCAAATCAAGGCAGACCCCCTAGGCTCTTGTGCATGTCTAGCCACTAAAAAGCCATGTTCCCTGATGTCCCTCCATTCATCTCAGCACCCTCATCAGGAAAATAGATGACAGAAGGAATTAATAAGACACAAAGTATTTAGCGAGATATCTGCCAACAGTTACCTACCTATCATTTTATGTCTACAGTACCAATTTTTTTTAAAAAAGGATACATGAATCAAGCTTGATCTAATTTAAAAAACAAATGTTTTTCTTTTAACCTCAAATCACATAAAATTCCATAGTTAATTTGCTACATTTATGGAATATGTACATAAATTCCTGAGGTATTTTTTTCATGAATATCTTCTTTTGGTGTCCCAATCACTGCACAATTGCCTATTTTCAGACTTAAAAAAAAACCTGGCACTGGTGGCTCATGACTGTAATCCTAGCTACTCAGGAAGTAGAGATAATGAGGATAATATTTTAAGGCCAGCCTGGGCAAATACTTTGAGAGACCCTATCTCAAAAAATACCCAACACAAAGCAGGGCTGGCAGGGTGACTCAAATGGTAGAGCACCTGCCTATCAAGCCATGAGGCCCTGAGTTCAAAATCCAGGAATGCCCAAAAAAATAATGTATGCTGGTACAAGTTTATGAGGAAATAAATGATAAACAGAGAAGCCTAGTTTCCTTCCCCTTTCACATTCTTCTAGAAGTGGACTGCTCTCTTCCTCTCACAACTAAGAAATTCCCTTCTCTGACCATAACCTATCTTCTACCTGAACAATTTGCCTCACTGCAAATTATCTGTCTTTCATCTTGTCAAGATCCCCATGGCATTCCCAATTCTATCAGCACAAAAGTCTCTCAGTCTTGCTTACCTTCTGTTCTAATAGAGGACTCAGTTGGAGATGTCAATTATATTATTTTATTATCACACTTAACTCTTCATCCTGCTCCTTACTTGGCCTTTCTCCTATTAACCTTTCCAAATTTGAGAGTATTCTCTGAACCCCCACTCCAACCCCACAACAAAGTAGTTAATTCACAAAACTAAAGTGACTAGATTTCTAACAGTGATTTCATGTAACTTTACATGGGTTTCACTATGGTTAATAATCCTTAAATCTTTTCACTTTCCTCAGGCCATTTCTTTCACCAAATCAATCAAGTTAGTAGAGGGCTGGAGGTGTAGCTGGATGAGTGGTAGAATATGTGTTTAGCAAAAGCAAACATGGCTCAATCCATAGTAAAAATAAATAAATAAAATCTAATAGAAAAAAACGTTTTGATGAGCAAGACATGGTATAAAGTGTTTTATTTACAACATTTCACTTAACTCTGTATGATTGGTACTACCATCATCCCTATCTTACAGACCAGAAAGCTGAGGTCTAGTTGAATAAACTGTCAACCTAGTAACTGAGGGAAGCCAGAATTTAAACACAGATAAAAGTCTCAACCTTAAAATCAAGTTTTTAAACATTCCACTCCATGGCCATGTAAAGTTTCTTAAATTATTCCTATCTCTACTTATAAGCTTAAAGAGAAAAGTGTCTTCTAACCCAATGCCCCAGTTTACACTCCCAATGTAACCTCTGCTCTGCTGGCCCTTTAAGCCTGGCTTTTGCATAGCAGTCTTCCAGCTAGTTCTGTGTTCCTTGAGGGCCATCCCCACAATTAGCACAGAATTTGGCACTTGTGCTTACACTCAATAAATAACTGTTGAAGGAGTACATGCTTACTCAAAAGACTTGTTTTGGGAATCTGACACTTCATTCACCAGGATGGATACCAAAATCATTTCCTTACTCTCCTTGGGATAAGCTCCAGGAATTCATAACTTCTATTTTTTGAGTAAGGATCACTATCAAGGATTAGTGAGTAAAAATATCATATATTAAGAGTAAGACAGGACTTGAAGGAACTTTTTTAAAAAGTAGAAATAAGATCTGCATCAATTTTAAAATCTTGCTTTTAAAACAGTTTAAATTTGTCATGTATGAGGAAGAAATGTAATATAGATCAAAAAAAAACTTGTGCTAAAATTCTCTGATCAGCATAAATCAGAGAATGTTATCAGAAAACAAATGGTGAGAAAAGGGCCACAGTCAATGGTTCTCAACCAGGGCAGCAGGCCAAAAGAGAAAACAGAGTTTAGGAATGACTGGGGAGTGGGATGGGGCTGTCACTAGCAGTTAGTGATATGAGACAGGGATCCTGGCCTATAACATGAGACAGTCCTATACTGAGAAATAAAGTAGGTAACCAATATTCCAAAATACCAGAGGCGGTTTCTTCAGCTTGTCTTTCCTTCTCCTCTTCTCTTCTTTCATCTTCAGCATTCAGAAGTGCTGATACAATATCATTCACAGTTTTGTAGTTCTCCCCGGTGGTCAGGATTTTACTCTGCACGGTCTGTTTCACCAGGCTTCTACTAAAGCCCATTTCCAAAGCAGACTTGACCACAGGTGTATTCATCATGACTGCATCTTCTGAAGAACTTTCTCCAGGTCCAAAACGAACAACTATTTGAAAAGACATCTGCTGGTGTTAAGTTCCACAAACAAATAACTGTGGGAAGAATAATTACTGTGGCACAACCTTTACTCTCACATACTGATAAGGGAGACAAGCTGTATACGTCAATTACCTGTAACCAATAAAATCTGAACTCAATAACAGCAAAATGGGAGAATAACATGCTACAGTTTTTAAAAGTTACTTCCCAGACTACCTCCTAATAAAAGCCTCTGTAAGAACAAGGCTTAGGAATGGATATCTTAAAAATTCCCCACATGATTCCAACACACATTCATTTCTGGAAGCTAGTATGTTACATACGCAAACACAGAAGTGCGGCAGGCGTTACCTCCAGCCAGGAATATGGGTGAATGTAAAGACTTCAGCACAGGACTGGACTTGGGGCCTGGCATGCACGAGGCCCTGACTTCCATCCCTAGCACTCACACACCAACAGTTGAACAAACCCACCTCTCCCACAAAAGGAAAAAAAAGAGACAATGGCTGGGGTGGAGATGAGGTTCAGTGTTACAGTGCGTGTCCAGCATTAAAAGACCTTGGGTATGATTCACAGCACCAAGGAAAGAAAACGGGCTGAGGGTGAGGCTCAATGAGATCCTAGATTCGATTCCTAGCTTGCACATTATGCACGCACAACTTCCCCTCCCCCAAAAAACAGACTGGACTTGAGGTTGGAGGTATAGCTCAGTGGAAGAGCACTTACCTAGCATGCATGAGGCCTTGGGTGATCCCCAATGTCGAAAAATTAAGTAAGTGTGGACTTGAAAAATGAATAGGGTTGAGACAGAGAATAATACAGGAAAATGGGAAGTACATAAAATAGAAGACTGGTGGACCAAAATATGTCTAAAGATATTTCTAAATTTAAAAATGTGGTTAAAAAAACAAAGTAATATGATTTTAGAGAGAGAGACGTTCTCAAGAAAAAACTACAGTGTATGATGATTATAGAAACTAGTATTTGTTAATTTTAAAAAACTAGTGTGTGGTGATTAAAGAAAGTAGTGTGTGGTGATTAGGAAGCATGAGTCCATTTTAGATGAGGTGGTCAGAGAAGCATTTCTGGTAACGAGGTCAGTGATAGTTCATACTGCACTTGTGTTAAATTACAGGCATACTTTTTCAAGACACTTTACTGCCATCTGCTGGAAAATTGTTAGAGTGAACACATAAATACACAATAAATATTGAGCAACCTGGCTCAAAAAATACGGGGAATCCCCATCTGAAGAGATTAACATCAAAACAAAGACTTTATCCCCAATATCTCAAAAAATAACAACACACACACACACACACACACACACACACACACACAAAATCATACACTTGAATGATAAGGAGTGAGGCATGAGAATGCCTGGAAAAAAAGTCTTCCAGTCAAAAAGAATAGCACATGTACAAGCCTTAAAACAAGAGAAAATCGTTAGAAGCCTCATTAGAAGGCTTATTTGCACCTCTCATTCATCATCAATTTGAGCTATTTGTTGTGCTGTTTTATGCATGTCTTTTCTTTTCAAAGCTGGAATGTTTGGTAAACTTCTGTCTTTAAAATACCATGAACCTTAGTAAATAACATTATATTTATTAAGTTACCAGTTTTTCCTCCTATGGCTTCAGAAACACACCCTCCCTTTTCTTTTACGTATTTTTATATCTAGCATTCTTATAAAAATTACCATTCTATATTTAAAATATTTTCATACATACCTGGGGGATCAACAGTTTCTTCTCCAGGAGTATCTGAAGTTGATAAGAGCTGTAAATTGGAGAAAAGTTAATATGAAAAATCAAAAATCTCAAAGATAAACAGAAACACTAAGTTTACTTTAAGCAAATGTACATACTGTTTTGAAAGCTAGAGTTAAAAAAAAAAAAAAATTTAAGACAGGATCTTGCTATGTATCCCAGGCCAGCCAGAAACTCTTACGTAGCCCAGCCTGGTCTCAGACTTGCAAACCTCCTGCCTCATCCTCCCCAGTTGTGGGGTTACAGGTGTGCACCACCACGACTGGCAAAACTTGGTAATTTAAATGCTTTACTTTGCTTTACCACAATTATCATACAGCATTCCTGACACTTCACTTCCAAATTAGAATTCAAGTGTTTCTCCCATTGCTGTAGAACCAGTATATAATGGTTTGTCATACCATTTGGAAAACAGTATTTGAATTGGCTTACTTTCAAAAGGTATCAAAACTCCTAACAAGATTTTGTTTATTTTTCTGGAAAAGATCAAACAGACAAATCGACACTAATGATCTGTCTCCAACAGCATCACAAATTTGTATAGTGGGCAAGATGTATGATTTTTTTCAAAAAACTAAAACCAAAAACCTTTTTATTATTTTTTTTTTTCCCTTGAGACAGGGTCTCATATCTCAGGCTGGCCTGAAAACCGCTACGTAGCCCAAGCTGGCCTCAAACTCGTAATCTTCCTGCCTCTGCCTTCTGACTGCTGTGATTACAGATGAGGACCACTACACTTGACTAAAGAAAAAAAGCCATCTTTCTAGAAAAGCCCTGAGCTGCAAGTTGGTACAAAACTATGAGAAGTACCATTAACATGAACATAGAACATGTAATTAGCATTAATAAAACAGACACAAATATCACTTCTGATAATATTTCCGTAATCATGGCAGAATTCAATGATTTCTTTGTTGTTTTGTTTTGGTTTGGTTTTGGCAGTACTAGTGTTTGAACTTAAGACCTTGTGTTTGCTAGGCAGGACCTCTACCACTTGAGCCACATCTCCCACCTTTTTTGCTTTTTGCTATTTTTCACACAGGGTCTTGTGTTTCTGCCCAGCTGGCCTGGCATCATGATCCTCCAGATTCCCACCTCCTGAGTAGCTGGGATTATAGACATGAGCCACTGAACTCAGGCCTCGATGTTGTTAAACTTTAAAATGTATTTACCTGTTCAAGAAGATGTGGATATCTAGCTTGAATCTCATCAACAAACTCCTGCCCTTTCATGCGTATCAAGAACTCACACCTAAAACATCAGAGGAAAAATATTTTTAAAAATTGCTTCACACCATTATAACCTGACCATTCTAGAAAAGTAGCATTCAAACCTTTTTGATGAGACCCTATAGCAAAAACATTTCACATCACAACCCAGTGGACATATGTATCTAACATAATGATATACATTCTTACTGTATTAATGCAATCTAGTATTTTCTACAGCATTCATTAGCACAAGAAGAATAAAGAAAAACTCTGGACTTACAAATGGATGAAAAACTATGTTACAGATAATTTGCTTTTCAGGTTTAACACTATTTCAGAAACTCAGTACTCCTAAAATTTTCTTTCATAAATTAAAAACTGTTAGTCTTTCTTCAACAGTCTTCAATTACATTTGAAACACAATCCACCACATACCCTCCAAAAAACACAGAATAAAGTGTTTTCACTTACACGGTATGATGTTTTCAAATAATTATCTTTAAACTACTAAGGCTTCTCAAAGATATTCTAGCAGTTCACATAAAATCTACCATCATTCTACTCTTTTCTTCAACAAATGGTGCTAGATAACAGGGATCCATATGCAAAAAAACACACCAAAAATACCCTCATAAAAACAAAAAAACCCTTGACCTATGGTCGTACTATATGCAAAAATAAACTAAAAATGGGTCATATGCCTAAATGTAAGACCTAAAGTAATAAAACTTCAAGAAAATAATACAGGCAAGAAATCCTTTTTGTCCTTACCTTATGGGTATTTGTTTGTTTGTTTGTTTTGGTGGCACTGGGGTTTTGAACTCAGGGCTTTGTGCTTGCTAGGCAGACACTCTACAGCTGAGCCATTCCCCCAAGCCCTGTCCTTACATTATGTAAAGTATTCTTAGATAAAAGACTGGAGGTATAGCTCACTGGTAAGAGTCTGTGCTTAGGATGCATGAGGTCCTGGCTTCAATCCTCAGTACCAAAAGAAAAAGGGGGAAAAAAAAAATTTTTAGGTAAGGAACCAAAAAATATAATCTATAAAAGATAAAACTGACGAAATGACATAATCAAAATTAATATGTGCTCTTCAAAAGATACTGTTAAAGAAATGAAAAGATAAGCCACAAACTGACGGGAATGTTTACAAGAATGACATCAGCACGATGGCAGAAGAGACACAAGCCTTCTTAGCTCTACAAAAAATAAAGACAGCTACCCTTGAACAAAGATAGCTTGAGATGGCTCAATAGTCCAATTAGCCTATAGCCAAAAAAGTGAAGCCAAAAAAAAAAAGAAAGAATAAGAACTGCACAGAAAGGATCAACTTAGCAGAGACATTTGGAGACAGCTACGGACAAGGGCCAGGAGCTATCTCTGTGGCCACGTGGTAGGTGCCACTGTGGCCCAGGGGCCTGATCTGAGAAAGAACCTTTTGCCACTGAAGATATCTCCAGCCCCTAACACAATCACAGACTTCCTGCAGGTTTCACAGTAAAGGACTCTACAGTGTTCACTGGTGCTGAACCCAGAAACCTACTCTTGCAGAGGACACTGATGGCCTTCACCACTGAGATAACCAGTAACAGCAACCAGTGTGAATCCCCTAGAGAAAGACTCTGCTGCTCTTCACAAAAAGGAGCAGCTGTTGCACCATTCCAGGAGAAGGCTGCCTTCTTCCTTCCTCAAGCATGCTCTGAAATCCAGAGCTGCAGATACACCTGCACATCAGGACCCTGATCTGCATCCACTCTGCTTATGTGCTCAAGCCCCAGTTCTGCAGCTGCTCTACACATCTGTGCTCTAGACCTGCTCTAGTGCTGCTCAGTGTGTAACCATGTCTCAGACACCAGCCAAAGGCCTCTGCTGTGGGTGATGCAGTGCCCTGGATCTACAGCCATTGTCTCTCTGCATGTACCTGCACACCAGATTCTGCTTCTGTGGCTGCTCTACAGATCTCCACCAGAACCACTACCAGTAGCATCAAGAGTACCCACAAGCCAGAGTAGGTGCCAAAAGGGTTCCTGTTGGCCGTAACATTTCCCATGAGAGAAAAAGAAAACAAGTTTCCAACAGTCTTGCCACCAAAGACCCTTGCTATTGTTGTGGACACTGAGGATTTCTGCAATCCTCCTTGAAAATGACTTCAGCTAACAGAGCTACACAGAGATTATGTCACTGAACCTCCCATGGAGCCAGAACTGTCTCACCCACCTACAGGTAAGTCCTTCCCCAACAAAACCAGTCTGCAAAGATTAGCAGAGTAAGTGCTCCATAGATGCACAGATATCAATGCAAGGCCACAAGGAACCAAAAAACAAAAACAAGGCAACATAACACCACCAAAGGAAGCCAATAATTTTCTTGAAAACATCAGGAAAAAAAAAAGGGGGAGCTTATACACTGCCAGAAAAGGAATTGCTAATAATTGTTTTAAAGAAGTTCAGTGAGTTTCAAGAACACACTCAACTCAGTGAAATTTGAGAGGTGAAGAAATGCTAGAGAATTCTTCAAGCTAAAATGAAAGGGTACTAATTAGTAACAGAAGAACATATGAAAGTATGAAACTTACTGGTAAAAATGAACACATAATCAAATTGAGAATACTGTAAGTTTGTAACAGTGGTGTGTAAATCACTTAACTCTAATATAAATGTTAAAAAGAAAAAGAAATAATGGCAGAAATCAGGAGGATCACAGTCCAAACCCAGCCTGGTCAGAAAGTTCCTGAGACCCTATCTCGAAAAAACCCAACACAAAGCAGAGCTGGCAGAGTGGTTCAAGTGGTAAAGTGCCTGCCTAACAGGCATGAAGCTCTGAGTTCAAACCCCAGTACCAGCAAAAAGAATGTACTGGGGCTGAGGCATACATAACTCAGTGGCAGAGAGCTTACCCAGCAGGCAGGAAGCCCTGAGTTTAATCACCAACACTGCAAAAAACAAAAGTATCAAAAATATCTATACCTATAGTTATAGCTATACTTATTAAAAAACTACTAATGGATACACAACATAAAAAATGTAAACAGTGATATCAAAACCATAAAATGTGGGGAAAAGACAGAGGGATAAAATTAAGTTATCAATTTATAAAAGACTGTAAGATGTTCTGGGTAAACCTTCAGGCAAGCACAAAGCAAACATCTAGTAGGTAACAAAAGAGAAAGGAGTCACATCACTATAGAATATGAAGAAATCACAAAGACAGACACCAACAAAAAAAGGAACAAGGGAACTACCAGGTGGAGAACAATTAACAAGATGACAATAGTAAGTCCTTACCCTATCAACAATTATTTTAAGTTCAGGTGGATTAAAATCTTCAACTGAAACGCAGTGTCTGGCTGGGGATGCAGCTCAGTGGTTTAGGTGCCTAGCATGCACAAGGCCCTAGGTTCGATTACCAGTATCACAGAAAAATTAAATTTAAAAAAATAACACACAGTGGCTGCATGGATCTAAAAAAAAACAAGAAACAAAGACCATACTCCATTCCATCCATAAGACTCACTCACTTTACCTTAAAAGGACACTTACAGTTTGAAAATAAAAGTATGGAAAAAAAGATATTCTATGTAAATAGAAGCCAAAAGAGAACATGGGTGGTTATAGTTGTATCAAACAAAAGATTTTACATTAAAAAAAAACTCTAACACAAGTGAACAATCACAACAATGTAACTATAAATGCACCCACCAGCAGAGCAACTAAACAATACGAAGTTATGAGCAGATCGAAAGGCAGAAATGACAGCAATACAAGAATAGTAGGGGACTTCAATTACCACACTTTCAACAATGGACAGACCATACACACAGAAAATATTGGACTGAACTATTCATCAGACCAAATAGACGTACACAGAATATTCCATACAACAGCAGAATAGTGTCTTCTCAAGCATACACAGAAAATTCCCCAGGAAAGATCATCTGTTAGATACAAAACAAGTCAAAAGAAATTCAAGAAGATTGAAATCCTATCAGACCACATTAGTACTATGAAACTAGAAAATTAGTAAAAAGAGGAAAGCTAGAAAATTGACAAATATGTGCATATTAAACACTACATGCCTCAACAATCAATGGGTCAATGAAGAAATTCAAAAGCTAAAATACAACATACGAAAATTTACAGGGTACAACAAAAGCAGTTCTAAGAAAGGCACTCTTTTTTCAAAAAAATCTCAAATATAAACTTTATACCTCAAGGAACTAGAGAAAGAACAAACCAAGGCCAAAATTACTTGAAGGAAATAACAAAGATCAACACAACAGACAACAAAATGCAACAGACAACAAAAACAATACAAAAAAATCATCAAATCTAAGAGTTGGTGTTTTGAAAAGATAAACAAGGGCTAGGAACATAGCTCGGGGACAGAGAGCTTGCCTGCCTAGCATGTGAAAGGCCCTGGATTTGATTCCCAGAAATGTCAACCCCAAAAAAAGGAAATCAACAAAAAGAAAAGATAAATGAAATCAAGAAGGCTTTAGCTAAACTAAGAAAAAAAGAAGACTCAAAGGAGATGGGAGACATTACATCTGATATTACAGAAACACAAAAGAACACCTAAGAGATATAAACTGTTACACAGCAACAAAGTGGATAATCTAAAAGAAATGGGCACATCTTTGGAAGCATGCAGCCTGTCATGACTAAAATCATAAAGAAACAGAAAATCTGAATAGTAAAGAGATTAAATTAGGAATCAAACTCTTTCAGTGAAAAAAAGCCATGACTACACACCTTCACAGTGGAATGCTATCAAACATTTAAAGAATTAATGCCAGTGCAAAGTGATGAGGGGTAATATTTCTTAACTCATTTTATGAATCCAGTATTACCCTGACACCAAAGCCAGAGATATTGTAAGGAAAAAAAATTACAGAGTAATATCCCTGATATACATAGAAGAATCCTAAATAAAATGCGAGCAAACTGAATTATTAACACAGTAAAAGAATTATGCACATGAAGAGAATAAAGGATAAAAATCATATGATCACCTCAATACATGCAAAAAAAAAAAAAAACAAAAAACCAGCATATGACAAAATTCAACACCATTTCATGATAAAAATTCTTCACAAACTAGGTATAGAAGGAATGCACCACAACAAAAAGGCTCTCTATTGGGCTCAAAAAGGCCCACGGCTAATGTAATACCCGATGGTGAAAAACTAAAAGCTTTTCCACAAAGATGAGGAACAAAACAAGGACACTTCTATTCAACACAGTACCAGAAGAGAAGTCCTAGCCAAAGTAACTAGGCAAGAACAAAAAAAGGCATCCAAATCAAGTAAGAAGTAAAACTGTAGGCAACATGATCTTCTACATAGAAAAGTCTCACAATTCCACTAAATAAAACTTTAGAATAAATGAATTCAGTACAGTTGCAGAATATAAAACTATCATACAAGTGAACAGCATTTCTATACACTAAAAACAAAACAGCTGAGAGAAATCAGGACAGCAATCTCCCTTCAACAGCATCAAAAACAATGAAATACTTAAGATAAATGTAACCAACAAGGTGAAAGATGTGTAAACTAAAAAATATGAGACTGATGAGAGAAACTGAAGATGGCACAAATAAAAAGGTATGTCATGTTCATGGATTAAAAGAATATTGTTAAAATTCAACATACCATACTACCCAAAGCAATCTATAAAGTCAATGTAATCTCTATTCCAATGACACTGGAGGTTTTGATTCAAGGAGCAGAATGCCTGCTTTGCAAGTATAAAACTCCTAAGTTCAAAACCCAGTCCCATCAAAAGAACTACAAAAAAAATGTTGGGCTGGTCAAGTAGCTTAAGTGGTACAATGCCTGCATAGCAGCATAAGACCCTGAGTTCAAACCCCAGTACCAACAACAACAACAAAAAAATTCAATGACATTTTTCATGGAAATAGAAAAAAAAAATCCTAAAATTCATATGAAAGCATAAAGCAATCTTGAGAACAACAAAGCTAAATGACTCACACATCCTGATTTCAAACTATATTACAAAGCTCCGGTAATCACAACAGTATAGCAGAGCATAAAAACAGATACAGGGGCCAATGGAACAGAATAGAGCCCAAAAATAAGTCCCCTGTCAACCAACACACAGTCAACTAATCTTTGACTGAAGAATGAAGAATATAAAACGTGCAAAGGAGTCGCTTCAATAAATGTTACTGAAAACTGAGCATCTAAAGGCAAAAAATAGTAATAATGAAACCAGATCCCTATCTTATTTCGCTTAAAAAAACTGACTTGAAATGGGTAAAGACTTAAATGTAAAAACTTAAAATTATCAATGGGCACCAGTGGCTCACGCCTATAATCCTAACTATTTGGGAGGCTAAAATCGGGAGGATCGCAGTTCAGCCCAGGCAAATATTTCTCAAGACCTCACCTCCAAAATAACCAAATGGACTAGAGATGTGACTCAAGTGGTAGAGTGCCTGTTTTGCAAACACCCTGTGTTCAAATTCCAGTTCTACCAAAAATAAAAAAAAGAATTTAAACTGCTAAAAAGAAAAAACAGAAGGAAACATAGAGAAAACTCCTTGCCATTGGTCTTGGAATGGTTTTTGGATATGGCACCAAAAGCAAAGGCGCAAAAAGCAAAAACAAGAGTAGAACTACATCAAATTAAAAAGCCTCTACACAGCAAAGCAAACAGTCAACAAAATGAAACAGTCAACCTACAGAATGGGAAAAAGTATCTATAAATCATTTATCTTATAAAAGATTAAAAACATGTAAAAATTCATAACTCAGTAACAAATACAACTCAGTAGCAAATATAGTTATACTTAATATCAAACTAGCAAAAACATCATGTTTTTACCTTTTTTCTTCTACAAAACAGGAGAATGGGTGGAACAGGTCCTGCAGGGGGAAAGGGGTTTGGCACCAGTGGGTGAGAGGGGGGGAAAGGTGGGGAAAGGAGTAAGTGGATGAATATAGTACAAATAATGTGTATACATGTATGTAAATACAAAAATGAGACCTGTTGAAACTATTCCAGGAATGGGGAGGGAATAAAGGACAGCAGTGGAAGGGGTAAATTCAACAATGATGTATTTGATACACTGTAAGAACCTTTGTAAATGCCACAAAGTACCCCCACCCATATAAATGCAACCTAAAAAGTAAAAGTCAAACTTACAAAAACAGAAAAGAATGGTGGTAGCCAGAGGCTGATAAAAATGGAATGTTGGTCAAAGAGCACCAATTTTCAGTTGTAAGATGAGTAAGTTCTGAGGATCTAATGTGCAGCATGGTGACAGAGCTAATTGTGCTGTGTGCCTGAAATCTGCTAAGAGAGTACATACTAAATGCTCTCGTGAGAGAAAAAGGTTTCTATGTGAGGCAATGGACGTGTTCTTTTCCTTAACTGTGGTAATCCTTTCAAAATGTGTAAGTATATCCAGCTATCACATGTATACTTTAAATACATATAATTTTGCCAATTAAATGTCAATAAAGCTAAAAAAAAGTCAAGCAAACACAAAATTTGTAAAATACATCAGATGAAGGACTTGTATGTAGAAATCCATTAACTCTGAAAACTTAATTTTTTAAAGACTGTAATTTAGATTTTAAGTTTAATGTTCAATTTAATTAAACATAGATAAGCATTTAAACAGATACTCTCAAGATGGACAGATGACAAATAAGCATATGATGCTCAAAATCATCAGTCATGAGGGAAATACTAATTAAACCCATAGAAATGCCACTACACACCCATCAGGATGGCTGAAATCAAAAAGACTGAAAATGCCAAATGTTGGTAAGGAAGTCTCAGACATTGCCCATGGGAATTTAAAATGATACAGCCACTTCAAAAAACAATTTAGCATTTTCTTAGAAAGCTGAACCAAAACTTGGCCATATAACCCACCAATTCCACTCCTAAGTATTTACCTTACTGAAGTAAAAACATACATTCACCCAATGTTTAGAATGGCTTTACTACTGCTCCAAACTGGAACTATCCCCAATGTCCTTCATTTGTTAAATGGGCAAAACAAACTATGGGGTAACCATCTACTGGAACACCACTCAGCAAGAAAAAGGACCGAACTACTCACACACAAACATGGGTCAGTCTCAAATGCACCATGGTAAGTGAAGGAAGTCAGACTCGGGCTACAAACTGTGTGATCTGTCCTATTTACATGCCATTTTGGGAATGGCAAAAGTACAGGAACAGAGAACATGTGCGTGGTTGGTAGAACCTGGGATGGGAAGAGAGTGCACTAGAAAGGAGCATGAGGAATGTCCTCTATCTTTAATTCTCGTTCTCCTGCCTCAGCCTCCAGAGAGAAGGGATTGCAGGCGTGCCCCACCATGACCAGCTTTTTTACTTTCAAATTATATGTAACAAGACCTCTCACGTCACTGATGATTTGTCTTGTGTGTGTGCTGCTGTGGATTGAACCCAGGGTCCTGCACATGTTAGGTAAACACTCTACTTATGCTGCATTCCCCCATGAGTTAGTCTTAAGTGCCCAAAGCTCAATTAAAATATTCTGCAGTGTTCTGTATACTTTCTTCTTTTGCAGGCCACGCATTCAGTATGTAATTTAGAATTACGGCCACATCTTACTTTAAAGAGGATTTAAGGATTACAGGTAAGTATCTCTACTTGTTTTAAGTTCAAGAGTTGTGTGTGAGAATACCTTTCAAAACAATTACCATGATAGGGGTTGGGAGTTTTATACAGTGGTAGTGTCTGTGCCCTGCACATGCCAGGTACTAGGTTCAATCCTCAGCACCACTAAAAATTAAAAATAAATTAAAAAACCAATTACCTTGGAAACCATTTGGCATGTTCTACCCATGGATCGTCTCCAGATTCCCAACACCTCAAGCCACCATCACAACAAAAGCATTTGACATCATCATTTCGATCTAAAGGGAGAGAAAAAAGGCCAAAAACTGGCTATACGTATGTTCTAATACATAAAACAAACAATAAAATGTATAGCTACCAATTAGTTTCTTACCCACATAATAAAAACCAGCACTTGCAAGCTGCTCAGGCTGAACTGGAACACTGGATGGCCAGTACATGAACGTTCTCATTCGAGCTGCATGTGTCTGCATGCTCAGATTTGAAATACTAAACCTGAGCGTTTCTACAGAATTTTCTAAAAAAGGGCAGCTGGGGAAATGCCTCCGATGTTCTGACATAGCATCATCCTTTGGTTCCCAGTTACTTAGCTTTCCACCACAGGCAAAACAGGCTACTCTATCTCCAGGTCCTATGTAATAAAAGCCAGCTCTTGCCAATTCTAATGGTGACAAAAAGCTTAAAGGCCAGATATTGTAAGTAAGAAGTCTGGCTTCTTCGGTACTCATGGCGTAACTGCAGGAGTTAGTCCTCAATGGAGAGAAGTCTTCCACTGCTCTAGAATTCAGAGGGTTTGTGGAAAGGTTGGAGTAAGAGCCACTGTGTTCCAAAGCAGGAGACAACGAACGTGCAAAGCTGTTTCTCACTGAAGAGGCGTTCTTAGAAGTGGATGGCAGACTAGCTGAAATCATATTCTGAATAAAGCTACAGCTAGGATATAGCTGTTTATGCTTTTCAATAGGACTGTCTCCTTGTTTCCAGTTATCCAGCATCAGGCCACAACAGAAGCATTTGACCTTGTCGTTCACACCAGTGTAATAGAAACCAGCACGAGCAAGACTCCGTTCTGAGACAGGAACCCCAGAGGGGAACGTGGAATATGTGGACATCCGGTACAGTTCACAGGACAAGTCATACTTCATCTTTTGTTTGTTGTCCGCTGTCCAATTTGACAAGATTGTGCTATCTTCCATATCTTAGTTTTTTGATATAAGGTATCTCAGATGACTTTTGGGGAGGTAGATTTGTATATGAGTAGGTGACGGTACTTTCTGATGGTTAAAACTTACATGAAATTTCTCATGTCTTCACGCTAAATTAGACTTTTACCAGGAAAAAGTAGCACTATTGAGTGCTACTTATGTAGAATTCACTGTATCTTTTTTACTGAATTTATATCAAGTTTACACTCATATAGGATAATCTCTCTTAAATCACCAAGTACTCTCTGAAATTACATTAACGTATAGGCAACCCCCAAGGCCTGCAAAAGCTTATGCACTTCTGAAAATATTAAGTGATTTTTCAAAAACAGTTTATATTCTCAAAATTATAATCAATTATATAATACCTAAATTATGCCTTTAATTTGCTTTTGATTACAAGCTCTGAAGCCTGGATAGCAGACCAATTACTGATTATGCCACAAAAGTTACGTGCAAGCTTTTCCCTTGTAAGCACTTTAATATGACGTCCAAAATAATCTAATTTTATTTTAGCAAACAAAGGTAATTAAAGTCTTCATATGGTTACCTTATCTAAAAGTTACTTTCACACATCATATCACAGTACTTAAAAGTGAGTTATATTAGCTTCAGTTAACAACTTTGGGGGAAGTCAGCACCCAGAAGCTTTATTGAATCTAAGCCTATCATGGTATAAAGGATAAATGAATTTTGTTTCAAGCTCACGAACTGTTACTCTTCTATCTTTGTTAAAAGTTATATGTATTTGTTTCCACTTCATGCAGTATCATTATGCTGTATTTTTTCTAACTGTGTGTAGCACTTTACTATACCTGGCCAAATGACAGCATTTTCTCCAATAACTTTAACCATAAAAATTCCACAGCAGACACGTTTTGCACTGAATTTTAAAAATAACCTGCTCTTCATTTAAGGACCATTTAGTTATAGTATCAGTCATGTTGTAATTAAGGATGAATCAATCTATCAAAAGACATGGCTTTCTTTTATCACAAATGCCTATCAAAGTATTGTATTACTAGCCTTCTCTTTGAAAACTCGTCAATATTTTTAAAGTACAATTCATACACAAAATTACACTCCACAAAATTCAAACTATATCCCTTTATAAAGCTTTAGGGTTTCCATAATGGGATTTATTTCTGCAGGGAAAAGGTAAGGAGTGCAAAAAGATTCCTCAGGGCTGTAAATCTGAAAAAGAAAAAAAGAAAAAAAAAAGGTATTTCAGGAAATTGTAATTGCATGGCAAATAGAACTTACAGGCTCTTCAGTTTATTCAGCAAAGAACGATTTTCCCTTTAAATAATGCAACTTAACACACGTAATTGCACCCCTCGCACTGTGTCTTTTAAAAACAGGTGGACATTTCCAGGCAGGAAAACACTTGTCCTCGGTCTCCTTGCCTTCCGTGACTTAAAGGCCTCTCCGGCGCTTCGCTGGAGGAAGGGGCAGGGTAGGAGCGCAAGACCCCGGGACGCCGCTTCACCTCCGAGCCGGAACTGGACGGCGCCGGTGTCTCCGGGGCCAGGCGTACTGCCCAGGCCTTGTTAAAAGGCATCGCCGACTACCACAAACCCTAAATGCCTTCCCTCACAACCCCAAAGCAACAACCACAGCCACCATCCAACTCAGAAGCCAAAAAAAAAAAAAAAAGGGACGATGACCTGCAAGACACTGGCCCTAGGCAACACCCCGACCTGGCAGGAATGCCTCCATCACAGCCAGCCTCGGACCCCGGGGCTGAGCAACGGACGGAGGGACGAAGAAACCATCAGCCCTCTCCCCCCGGGCCGTGCACGCACGGGTCACACCTCCGGCCCGGCCTCAATGCACCAGCCCCACGGGACGACGTCCACGTCCGCGTCCCCGGGCTGGGAAAGTGGGCGGGGCCAGCGCAGGCCTGCACCGGAGCCGTTCTTAAACAAACACCCCTTCCGACCGCAAGTCCCGAAGTCGTAGCTCCCGGATTAAATACAAGCCTCGGCGACCACGGGCGCGCGGCCGAGGACCCCACGGGCCTCATCTCCGGCGTCCGGCCGCAGCCTCGGGGACGCCGGCCCCCGCCCCGCGTGGACCAGGCCCGGATGGAGCCGCACTCACCGCGGTGCCGGCGCGGCAAACGCGGGAGCAGGGCGGCTGTTCGGGGCTCTCCTCACGCCAGAAAAGCAGCGGCGCCGACGCGGAACACGGACTCCGCTCAGACGCTCCCGAAACGCCCCGGCCCAGCTGGGCCGATACCGTCGCGCGGTGACGTCAGCACGTCCTACCACGGAGCGCACACCGCCCGCCGCGCGAGGGCGCTAGGGAGTCCGCGGCCTCAGAGCCCAACGGCATCCGTTTCCGGAAGTCGGACATCCGGGACCCGCGCCGGGGGCCCCCGGTGGCTCCGGGCTGCGTGGCCGCCCGCCGTCGCTGTGCGGTTGGCCGGCGGGGCGAAGCGGCGACTGTATCGGGTAGAAGTTGCGGTTTTTTAACCTTTCGGGGTTCCTTTCACGCTTCCGGCCCCCCGCTTTGTCTTTAGCATTCTCTCCAAGGGGACGTGGCAAACCGTGAGCTGTTGCGTTTGAATGTTGGGAAACCCTTCGGAAACGCCCTTCACCAGAGTTTGACGCCTGTCCTCCACCCCCACCCCATGAACCAATGAGAATCGTGGTTTTATTTTATTTCAAAAGCTGATCGGGAGCTACGCGAACCTGGCTTCGCCAGTGTTTGTGAATGAGCGAAATGGAATAGATAGGTTCTTGTACATACACTCAAGTAGTCGTTTATAAACCACAGAGAAGTCCATTTTTAAATAGCTTTTAAAAATCGTAAATAACCTTATTGTGACTGCTCATGGACCTTCTTTCTGGTAGTACTGCGAACAGAGTGGCCTGCAGTGTGTTGTTGCAGCCAACGACGTTTTCAGTGTTTTTTGTTTGTTTTTTGAGACAGGGTCCCTATGTAGCCCAGGCTGGCCTTGAACTCAGGATCCTCCATCCCCAGTGCTGGGATAGCAGTATGCCTGAGCTACCACGCAGGTTTCAGTTTACCTTCTGCAAGACAGTCTTTGTCAATGAAATGTTTTCTTCTCTCTGGGGGAACTCCAAGGGGCAAACATTTCAAAAATTTACAAATAACAAGCCACTTGATCAGGCAGCCAGGGGAATTCCAGAACCCTGAACCATTTCCCATTTCCTGTCCTCGTCATTTCTGCCTGCCACTCAGTCACAGAACAGGTCTTCTGTGCCAATGTTATAGTAAAAAGAAAGTAATTTCTAACAGTTTGTGATACAGAGAAAAGAAATGCCATGGTTTTAGTTCCCAATGACTAAAAACTTCCAAAAATGTACATGAGTCTCCGGTAGAAGTTCAGTATTTACTTCAAGTCGCAATTTCTCGGAAAGTTGCAGAACATTCCTAATAGTCGTGGGAATATAGCAAGAATTGCTCATTTTGAATTCAAGACTATTTCTCCTTTTCAGTTCTTGTCCTGACCAAAAAAGTGAGATAATGAATATGCTTCAGCATAGGGGGAAATTTACATTTCAAAACCTCACAAGCCTTAGATTTCTTTCCCCCCAAAAATCATGTAATATCATTCAGGTATAATAAGTAGTGTTTTATTGCTTTTAATCTTCTGTAACCTTGGGAATGTAGTGTTGTTTGTTCACTTATTCAGTTAATTTTCTTTTTCATATTTCTAATGTAGAGTTGCTGGTAATTTTGAAAAATTGGCTGTATACATCTGCAGAGGTTGTCATCCTAACATTTTTCATATTCATATAGAAAAAAATATTTTCAGGATTCCAGGCAATTTTGAAGAAGAAAAAAAAACAAGGTTGAAAAGACTTAACCTATAACTTACACAATAAAATCATAGTAATCGAGACAGTCTTGTATTATTAAATGTATAAGGATAAGCAATTAAAGGAAAAGCCCCCCAAAAACACTAATACGTATATATATTATATGTAGGAATTTGGTATATGACATCACTATTACATATTAGTGAGAAAAAGATAACTACTCAATAAGTAGTACTGAATGGTTGTGGTAGTGGAAAAATAAAAGTGGATTGTTACCTTATGCTATTTCTTTACTGCTGTATAAAAACCCTTAAAGGTGAACAACTATCATTGCAAATCCAAGGATTTAAACAAATTCATGAGTTGTAATCCACTGCAGTTACTGTTTCTGTTGGTGTCCAAATTGTTTTATCTTAGGCCAGCTGGAGGTTATTCAGATGGCTCCAAAGTCTTTTGACATGGTCTTTGATCACTTTCCAGGCTCATTTTGTACATTTACCATTTCATGCTCATCATAAGCCATTTATCCATCCCACTGTGTGGGATGGAAAAGAGTGTTATAAGACCGTAATTTAAATGTTTGTCTTGCATTACTGAGTTCTACAGTTTTTAAACCTGTTCTGTGGACAAAGATAGGTAATGTTTTGTTTTGTTTTGTTTTTTAATAAATCATGAACTCAAATGATACTTCCCATTCAAATTAGGAATTCAAAATTTTATTTAAGCTTCTTTTTCTTTCTTTTTTGCAGTACTGGGGATTCAAACCCAGGTCCTTGTGTATGCTACAAACACTTAGCCACTGGGCTACATCCCCAGCGCCCCCTTTTCCCCACCTTTCCCCCGCCCTCCTGTTGCTGGACATGCAATCTAGAGCCTAGAGTATAACCAAGCATGTGCTCTACCACTGACACCCCCAGTCCCTAAACCTCTTTGTACATCTGTAACCACCTTTCTTTTACCCTCCAGTTCTTCCTACCCGTAAGTAATGGCTTAAATGTTTTTACTCATTTTTCCATTTAAAAGATGTAAGTATGTGTATATACATCTCTCCTTTTCTCAGATAAATAGTAGTAGCCCACTTTTCTCCACTTAGTACATTCTGGGGATCACTTAATACTTGTATATAATGATAGATATTTCTCACTTGTGCTTAGTACTCCATTGTGTATTAGGTATGTACCATACCTAATATATTCGACTTGAACAATTTGATTCAAAAAGTAATCAAAGGCTGGGCAGGGTGAACATGTCTGTAATCCCAGCTACTCGGGAGGCAGAGAAGCAGGCAGATTGGGAGTTTGAAGCCAGCCCCAAGTAAAGTTAGGTAGACCTAACTTTTTTTTTTTTTTTAAAGGGTAGGGGGCTGGAGGCATGACCCAAGTGGTGAAGCACTTGCCTAGTAAATGTAGGGCCCTGGGTTCCATCTCAAAGGCCTCTTTCTGTCTGGGCTTCTATAGTAGTCAGAGGACTCACCACCACATCCCATCTACCGTGGATGGTCTTTGTGGAACTGCTCCAGTTTCATGACGAGGAATCAGCAGACAGCACAAGTCCAGTTACCTGAAGGATCACAACTCCTTCCACCACAGAGGCCGCTGACAGCACAGGTGCTAGCAAAGGTCATGACCAATGGGGAGACCTGGGCAGCAAAACCTGCCTACCGCCTTTGTGCCAGCCACCATCAATAACATGCAGACGGCACTTCCCAGGATCAGGCCCACAGTCTAGACGAACCAGTACAGCCCCAACCCATGGCAGGAGTCAGTGCCACCCTGTGCAGCCAGAAGCCTGTGATGGTAAAGAGAAAGCAATTGCCCCTCCAAAAGCATTTGAGCTCTCAACGTCTGTACCCTGCCAAAGCAGTAGAGTCACCTGACAGGAGGGAGGAGGGAAGGAGAGAGGAAGGGAATAAAGAATACAAGGGCCTTACCAAAGACTCAGGATCCAAGTCCCTCTAGCCTAAGATAAAACTAGTCCCATATTCAGCTACTTTCCGATTGATGGGCATCTGAGTGGTTTCAGTATTTTACTGTTACAAATCATGTTGTCATAGTCTGATGCTTGTGGCTCACATCTGTAATCCTAGCTACTTGAGAGGCAGAGATCAGGAAGATTGCAGTTCGAAACCAGCCTGGGCAAATAGTTCTTGAGACTCTTATCTCTCGAACCCAACCAAAAAAAGGGCAGGTGGAATGGCACAAGTGGTAAAGTGCCTGCCTAGCAAGTGTGAGGTCCTCAGTTCAAACCCCAGTACCCTGAAAAAAAACAAAAACAAATAGTATTATAATGAATAGTTGTGGAAATATGTTTTATTTTAGGGTATATTTCCAGAATTTGAACTTTTTTATTTTATTAGTATATAATAATTGTACAGGGGAGTACATTGTGATATTGACGTACATGCTTCCAATAGATCTTAGATTTACCCCCTTCATTGTTCTCCTTCTTTCCCTTCCCCACCTTCTTAGAACAATTTCAACAGGTTTCATTCTTCTGTTTTCATATATGAATACAAAATCCACCATATTCACTGTCATTCTTCCTTTCCTTGTGCCCACCCACCTCCTACTGATACCCACCCCAGAAAGGACCTATTTTCCCTCCTGTTCCTCTTTTTTTTTTTTAAGTTCTATATTGATAGTCCAAGGAAGTTTTGTCTTGGTACTTCAGGCCTACATATATCATGCTTTGATCAAATTAAACCCTGCACATACTTACCCATTCTCTATCACCATGCTCCCCTAGTCAGAATTTGAATTGTTAATTCCAGTGTAAAGTCATACATAATTTTGCTAGATATGGCCAAATACCCACTGGTAGGAGTTGGCATCATACAGTCCAACCAACAATGCATGTGAATGAACTTCACCAGAGTATGTGTCAACTTTTGGATTGTTGCCAATCTGTAAGAAATAGTATTTCAGTGAAGTTTAAATTTCATTGCTCTATTATAAGTAAGATTGAAACTCTTTTCCTGTGCATCAGTTTTATAAGTAATATTTAGTTTGCTTGTTTTTAATTAAGCAAATATGCAAGTGTTAGGTAGGATTAGCGTGTAGTATTATTAAAGAAAAAACGTGCTGCTTATTGAAATGGTAAGGAAGACTTTCAGCGCTGTTACAATAACAGCATTGTAACAGAAGACACTTTGGTTCAACACTGTGTAAAGCAAAGACAATGGGACTTACAGAGTGCAGAGCGTGAGAGTCAGTGGATGGAAAAGGGCCAAGAAAGACATCACCTAGACAACGAAGACCCTCTCTGGTTCCCTCTCCCCAGAGAGTTCCCTTGACTACTTCCTCTGGTGAGCTGTGGCTCTACCCTGGTCTCTGCCAGGGTTCCCCCCAGTTAAAGACCTCCCCTTTACATTCAGTCTGTGTCCCACCACCCAAAGCCCCTTGCATGCTACTGCCATCTTGTGGTCATGTCTTTCTTTGATCAGCCTGAAAATCCTAAAACAACCAAAAAGCCTTATGACTGGGGAAAAATCATCAGGAGACACCATGCAAACACAAGGCAAAGGACCATGTTCTTTTTTAACCTGTTTCCTGTAAATGAGGGAAGAAAGACTTGAAAAAGCTGATGGAAGTTGGGGAAAGCTTTTCCTGTAGATTTCCAGAAAGCAATCATGTGGGAAACTACACACAAAGGCACAGAGGTGTTTAATAATTTGCCCAAGGTTACTAAACTTGATTTGAACCCAAAGCTATGCTTTTAATCTCTGTGCTACTGTGTCTCTTAAATATCAGTAATTTCCAAATAAGGCACAGTACATGTAAGTTCGATAATTGTCAGCTTGATATTTTTTATATGTGTGTGGTGGCACTGGGGTTTGAATTCAAGGCCTCACACTTGCTAGGCAGGTGGTCTTACCGCTTGAGCCACACCACTTTTTTATAATGGGCTTTTATGATGAATTTTTTCAAATAGGGTCTCTTGATTTACTCAGGGCTGGGTTCAAACCGTACTTCTCCTGCTCTCTGCCTTCTGAGTAGCTAGGATTACAAGCATGAACCACTGGGGCCTGGCATTTATTCTTAAGTCTATAATGCCCACCTTTGTACCTTTTCTTACACTCTTTCTTGAGTTGAAATGCCATGTCTCATCATTCAGAAAACAGTTCCAGCATAATTCCTTTTAACTAGGTTGATCTTTCCCCTCTAAAGATTCCTTGTGACATCTAAAGGAGTACAGAATTCGGCCCAGGACTCTCTCCTTTATCAATGGTGGTACTTAAGGAGAAAGAAATTGCCCTTCACATCCCACCTCCACTTACAGGAAGTTCATTTATTCTGTAAGGGCCTGTTCTGTCAGGCTGTATATGAGGTGCCAGACGTGTGTGTGTGTGTATTTGGTGAGCAAAATGTATGTTCTTGTCCTCATAGAAATATTGGTTATAGAATATGGTGCAAACAACCAAATTTGCAAATATAAATTGTGATAAGTCTTATGAAAAAAGAGGACAAATCTTTTTGTTCCTCCATTAGACAGTCAAAGAGGGCTGGGGGAGAGGGGTATCTCAGTGGTAGAGTATGCCTGAAGCCCTGCACAGAGAGAGAGAGAGAGAGAGAGAGAGAGCAAAGAAATTTAGAGAGGGGAGTCAGAGAAGGCCTCTGAAACAGTAACATAAACCCCAGTAAGCAACAGAGCTGTGTTAAGTATAGATGCAACAAAAGGTGTCTACCAGTGAAGTATTTGTTCAATAGCTGAGTTACAAGTCACATACACAATATTGCAGTGAAATTGGCCTAGCACTCCAGGAGGACACTAGCCAGCCAGCTGAACCTTTTTGCAAGTCAACTTTAGTTTCATCCCAAGGAAACAGTCACCCAGCATGAGGATGCAGAGATGGACTCTCCACCTCCTCCCTTCACCTGGTCCTTAACCTTTCTCCCTAGAACACCAGCAAATCTCTAGGACTAGTTTGGATGTTGGCCTGTCTTCTCCAGAATATTCCCTATGACAGTTTTATTTCTGGCCATAAAGCCCTGATCCCTCTGTAGGAAACAAAGGATAAAGCATTATGAGTTAGTCATGCTGAATACTGAGAAAGTAACAGAGAGGAGGAAGTTGTGCTCACTGACAATACAGAACCGATGTATTTGCAGAATGAGCTGTTGGTCCCAAGTAATCGCAGTTTCTAGGTCCCAGAAATAATGCCAAAGTAATGTGACCAAACCTAAGGGCTTCTCCCAGTGGGTAAGGCTGGCACAAGACTTCCTGAATGAAGCCATAAACCAATGAATAAGCAGGCTGACTGAAGGGATAGCTTGACTACTGATGAATGGATTAAGAAAATGTGGTATCTAGACACAATGGAATTTTATGCAGCCATGAAGAAGAACGAAATGTTATCATTCGCTGGTAAATGGATGGAATTGGAGAACATCATTCTGAGTGAGGTTAGCCTGGCCCAAAAGACCAAAAATCGTATGTTCTCCCTCATATGTGGACATTAGATCAAGGGCAAACACAACAAGGGGATTGGACTTTGAGCACATGATAAAAGCGAGAGCACACAAGGGAGGGGTGAGGATAGGTAAGACACCTAAAAAACTAGCTAGCATTTGTTGCCCTTAATGCAGAGAAACCAAAGCAGATACCTTAAAAGCAACTGAGGCCAATAGGAGAAGGGGACCAGGAACTAGAGAAAAGGTTAGATGAAAAAGAATTAACCTAGAAGGTAACACCCACGCACAGGAAATCAATGTGTGTCAACTCCCTGTATAGCTATCCTTATCTCAACCAGCAAAAACCCTTGGTCCTTCCTATTATTGCTTATACTCTCTCGTCAACAAAATTAGAGATAAGGGCAAAATAGTTTCTGCTGGGTATTGAGGAGGTGGGGGGGAGAGGGAGGGGGCGGAGTGGGTGGAAGGGAGGGGGTGGGGGCAGGGGGGAGAAATGACCCAAGCCTTGTATGCACATATGAATAATAAAACAATTAAAAAAATACAAATAAATCCTCCGATTGTTCCAAAAAGAAAACCTGAAGCTCAAAGCCAGGTGTATCTACAAATGTAAATGAAGAAGCATCTTATGGGAAGGGATCTAAATTTTAGTTTGACATTCGATTGTCTTTAAGAGTCTGGGAGTAACAAAACTATCCAATATCATATAAATAAAGATACTAAGAACAAGAGTAATTTTTGTTGCTTTATTAAATTACTCCTCACAGAATTCTTTACAAAATTACCACATCCCTAAAGTGCCATTCAACAAATAATGAGACCTGTTTATAGAACACTGAGCAGAAAAGACAGAGATTTTGTGTTCCTGGTACCTCATACAACTCCAAAATATTTAATATTCTGAAAGGCAAACTCAAATATCTTCAATCTTACTTCACTAACAATTTCAGTAATACTGAAATTTTGACTATTATATTTGTAGTGCTAGTCTTGGTTTTTGCTCACAAGAACCAATGCCTATCATTCTCTTCGTATCTAAAATATTATTATATATAATATACATTATAATATAATATATAATATATATTATAAATATATTATTATATATTTTAGATGCATATTGATATAAATGTGTTGATATAAGACAAAATATTCCAAGCTATAAATAAATAAAAAAAAAAACTTTAGGAAACCAAATGAGTTTAAAGTTAAAATTATAATATAGTTAATCCATTAATTCTAGAGTTCAGACAAAGCTTTGAATCTATTTCATGAGAGAAACGTGCGAACCGTCCCCTTGATGGTTCCTCTGCAAATGGGGCATTTTCTCAGGGAGGGAGCGCAGTCTTTGCACACTACTAAGTGGCCACAAGGAATGAACACAATGGACACGTCTCTGTCCATACACACTTTGCACATCCTTTCTTCTTGCAGTTTCCTCAACTGTTCTTCCATTGGTAGATCTAAAAAGAAAAAAAATATTTTTTGATTTTTTTTTTTTTTTGTGGTACTGGGTATTGAGCTCAGGGCCTCCTTCTTGTAGACAAACAATCTACCACTTGTGCTACGCTCCCAGTCTGATGTTTGCTTTTACTGGGTTTTTGGCATATGTTAAATTCTCCATAGTGAAGTGCTTCATCATGACATTTCCAAAGACGCACGGAGTGTATTTGGGTCATATCCATCTCCTGTATTGCTCCTTCTGAACCCTTTCTGAAGGGGTTTTGCTGTGTAGCCCTGGCTGTCCTCAAACTTACAATCCTCCTGCCTTCACCTCCCACGTGCTGGGTTTACAGGCGAGAACCACTGTGCCCAGGAAAGAAAAGAATTTTTAATAAAAGGCAAATTTCCTCTCTTCTAATGAAAAACTAAGAAAATAAAAGCAATATTTTCTACTAGTTTAAAGTATTAATACAATTACCTGAAGCATCTCTGGGAATATACTTTATGTCCTGTTGCACTAAGGGAGGAAAAGAAAGAGCGTTACTATGACATGTAAGGTATTTAGCCACACAATATATTTTATTTTTGTTTGGTTATATAACAGGTTTCATTGTTTTGATATTTTCATACATGTATTCAGTGTACTTTGATCACAGTCATTCCCTCCCCACCTTCTCTTTTCCTCCCTCCCACCAAATAATTCCTCTTCTACTTTCATGTCTCTTTCTCTCTTAAATCCAGTTTCTACCTCTGAGAGAAAATGTGACATTTGTCTTTCTGAGTCTCGCCTATTTCACTCAACATGTTAATCTCCACTTCCATCTATTTGCCTATTAAATGGCATCATTTCCTTCTTTTTGTGACTGAGTAATACTCCCCTGTGGGCACCTAGATTGATTCCATTGGCTATTGTGGGTAGTGCTGCGATAAACGCAGGTGTGTGAGTGTCTCTATTGTTTGTATGCTCACTTACATTCATTTGGATATATGCCCAGGAATGGTACAGCAGGATGATATGCTAGTTCTAGTTTTAGTTATTTGAGGAGCCTCCATACTGACTTCCAGAGTGCCTGCACTAATTCTAAACAATAGTGTATAAAGATTCCTTTCAGGATATAGTTTTTAAACAAACAGTTTAGACTTTGACAAAATACTCCTAATGGTAAGGCAACAGTAGTCTTTAATCTTCTGTGCAATTAATATTTATAAATTAGATTATTTTCAGTAACCACTAAATATGCTTCTATTAAGCATATTTTCAATTGACCTAGGAATTTCCCCAAAATATATTTCTAGTACTCACCAAATAAGCGATTATATAACATGGGGTCAGTTTCTTTCAGAGAGTTCTTGAAGATAGTGGCTGCAATATTTCCCTTGATTAAAATAATGTCGATCAGTTTTCTTGATTGTAAAGAAGCCCGTGTCTTCTGTTTAATAATGTCACACTCTTGTTCATCGATCACACTTGCAGTTAGTAGACTCTCCAAAATTGGAACTACACAAGTCAAATGTTGAAAAAGTGCCATTCTGTTCTTCCGGATTAGCATTAGATCATCTTTATTGAAAAAGAAGAAGAAAACAAACACAAACATATTCAAACTCTGCTGGCCAGTTTCCATTACTACATAATATAAATGAGTGGAAATCTTAAACTCACCATCAGTTGACTGTTAGGTTTGGGGACACTCAATTCCTTGTGCCTAGTAACAACAAGGACTCACACTGGGCACTGCGGGTAAGCAGTTTTCATCTTCACCATAGCCCTTTGAAGTAGGGGTGGATTCCCCCATTCAACAAATGAGAAAACAGAACCCAGGTGAGGCAAATGAACTGCCCAAGGTCACATAAGAAGCATCTGTGAACCTGAAGCAGTGAAACCTAAACCATCTGTGTTCAACCATTCTGAGATACTGCTAAGCAGTTAACTAAATAAAATGCAGAATCTCATAAAGTTGAAATTTTAATTCAATCCATTTAATTGGGGAAAGGTTCAATCAAAAGAATTAAAATTTTTTCTTAAATTTTCATTTTTCCATTTCAAATTTCATTTTAAGTTGAAATTTTAATTATTTCCCCAAATGAGACATACTGCCACTAAATATTTGCTAGTAAGAAGGGAAAGCACCGACAGCATTTCGAAGAATAAACCTTATTTGCCAATGACCACACGGTTGTTATGTAGGATCATCTTATTCTCCTTCAAGATCTAAGTTTTTATTTATTGGTACAAACAATATATTTTGAAACTATTATTTTATTATATCTTTGTATTATAACTCTGAGTCTAAGTTTTTTTAAGTTAATTCTCGTGTAGGTTACCGTGATCTACAAAGCTGTTTCTTTTTAAAATTTTATTCTTTTTAAATTTTTAACCACAAAGCTATTTCTATGAAGCAATTATATAGAAGTTGTGCTGTTTGTTCTGTGAAGGAAAGGAGGAGGGGGAGAGTGGGGAGGAGAAAGAATAATAGGGTGAATCTAATTAAGGTACATTGTAAGCACATATGTAAATGTCACAATGAATCCCCCTTTGTACAACTAATATATGTTAATAAACTTTAAAAGAATACTTAGGGCTGTCTGGAGAAGAATTATTTTAGAAGAGATGGTTGTTAGATTTTGGAAATATTGACGTTGTCAAGTAATAAGACAAATAGAACTTCTCAAACATTTTTGAAAATGGTGCTTAGTCAAAAAGTCAAGGCAAGAGAAGTGCATTTTGAAGATAACTGAAGCTCTGAGAGTAAATGAAAAAAGGGGCTAGGACTAGAATATTGCCTGGCACATAAATAGTGCTCTACAAATAACTGTTGAAAATACCAAAAACCAAGCCTTGGAATTTTAAAAAATAAGAATAAAAAGGCAACAGCCAGGAGCACAGAAGACTCTGAACAATATATCCTGTTAAGTGATCTGCATCAGAGAAGTAGCTCCCCATTAGAAAATACAAACAGAATGTATACTTGCTGTTAAGTATTTATATTTTTCAATCCAAGATTTTTTTACTTACATTTTGCCTAACAGAGTAAGTTCTCTGAAGTTCTTAAGACTTGTAAAACTTGATCACTAGTAGTTGAGAAAAGTCTCATTTCAAAGTCATAGACTATTGTGGTTTATAAGTTGTGAAAACTTGAATATAACTTTGAAGCATATTATTCTTTTATTCTGAAAATATCCTAAATTGCATCTTTATTGATGCAACCATCAAGAAATTAATCACTCACTTCTTAGAAAACTATGAGGTAATCATCAACTTAAATGTAGGTATTTTCATTCATTCAATCAAAATAATTTCTTGAGCTCAGACTGTAAAGACAGCATGCTAAGCTGTGTAGTTAGGAGGGTGAGGCTGAGATGCTACAAGCTCTTTTTGATGATATAAATCATGCTATAATGTTGACATGGTGTCATCTCTGGAGATTTTGTTGATTTACTTTGGAAGAAATATAAATATCTTCTAAGTGGAGGGTATTAGACAAATGTGAAGGTAAGGATTTTCTTCTTTGAGCAATTGTTGGCTGAACACCAATGCTAAGACTGAGATGACCAAAGGAAGGACATACTTGCCCAATCTTCACAGTGAAACAGAACCTGGCAAGACCAGGCAAAGATTAATTTGGACTGTGTTGCTGCATCCTGGTGGTGTGCAGGACTGAATAACACACTTTGGTAAATGTATGATGCCTGATGCCGTACTATGTTCTGACCTGTTTGTCTGTGTCTAGTGGAAGACAAATCCATTTTCATGGGCACAGGTGAGTTTCTCCTTGAATGGAGTAGATAATCTGACTGTCAATCAACTTGGGAAGAATATATCCCAGATGGCCTTGGACAAGGATGAGGTCAAACTTTTTGTCCTTTCTGAGTTATGAATATTTGCAGGTTTGGGCATTGGTAAGGGAAAACATGTTTGGGACTTACAAGGTCATCCATGTAAATAGCAGAGCTACACAGAGGTGAATCAGAAGCTAGGCAGAGAGACTTGTGAGACTATATCTACTTACAACTATAAATTGCCATCTGTGATATAATTCCCTCTGTTATCCCTGTTTCCAGTAGGAGCTTTTGTTAAAAGGGATGGTCTGGCAGGGCATGGTGATACATGCCTATAATTCCAGCTCTCAGGAGGCTGAGGCAGGAAGATGGTGAGTTTAAAACCAACCAAGACCCTGTCTCCAGAATCTAAAAATAAAATCAAAGTAAGGACATGGGTAGCTTGTCCTGGGAGAATATCCTAGAATACCTAGCATTCACCTAAATAACAGACACTGCAAGGGAAGTCAGTTCTGTGTAGGCATATAGGTGCCATAATAAAAATTTAGGCATTAATTTATAGTCACAGGCCTAGACAGGCTGTTACTGCTAATTTTAAAATTAATAATTGTCCCTGGTACCATCCTAATGTATAGCAAAGAAGAGTGAACAACTACACTGGGATAAAAATGTGCCATGAATAGTGCACAAAAGATCAGAGTAAAAATATGAATTAAGGACAAGATACTTTTGCTCAACATATACATTTATACATATTCAATTTAATGAGCCACTTCCAATGTGTTTCAATGTGAAGACTGTTTTTTCAATTTGAATTCAGAAGTCTAAACATAAAAAAATCAGACTGGGTTGAAGGGCAGATTTTCAGAACTTACACAGTGATACCACATCCTGCGGAAGGAGAGGTTAAATTAACAAGAACACGCACCCGATTCTTTTTCCTCGGATGCTCTCTCGCTCGCCTCTTCCCTTATTTCATCCTCTGCATTAAGTAAGTCCACTATGAGACTGCTGACGGTTTTGTAGTTCTCCCCGGTGGTCAGGATTTTACTCTGCACGGTCTGTTTCACCAGGCTTCTACTAAAGCCCATTTCCAAAGCAGACTTGACCACAGGTGTATTCATCATGACTGCATCTTCTGAAGAACTTTCTCCAGGTCCAAAACGAACAACTATGTGGAACAACAAATTTAGCACACATTAGGGTAGTCCATATACTCTCTAAGTTTGAAGTTATTATGACATCAAAAATGTAAAACCCACAAAATGCAGACAAACTACTTTGTAGGAACTTCATTAAATGATATGTGTGTCTGGTCACCAAAACAAGAATATAGAATATTGGTATTTAGATATAAAATATGTGTCATCTGTCTCAACTGTCATACCCATGAGAGTAGGAGACAGAAACAGAAGGTCACCTCTAACAGAATTAAGATCCTTTTGTTCCTCGACTGAATAAACAAGTGCACTTTCTAGATCAAATCTATATTATTGCATATCTGTTTTTCTTTGTTATTCATAGATACTAGTTGTACAAAATAATGGGCTTCACTGTGACATTTACGTACATGCACACATATAATGTACTTTGATTGTGTTCACCTCCTGGCCTTCTTCTTCCCAAATAATCCCCCCTTCTATTTTCATATCTTTAAAAAAAAAATCTAGGTTCTGCATCTGAGAGAGAACATGCAATATTTGTCTTTCTAAATCTGGCTTATTTTGCTTAACATGATGATTTGCAGTTCCATCCATCTTTCTGCAAGTGGTGTGATTTCATTCTGCTTGATGGCTGAATACTACTCCATTGTGTATAAATACTACTTTTCTGGTTTTGTTTTTTGAATTAGAGTCTCGCTGAGTAGCTCATGCTGACCTCAAACTCCTAATACTCCTTCCTCAGCCTCCCGCTGTGGGATTGCAAGCATGGACCACATTTTCTTTATCCATTCATCCATCAATGGGCAACCTAGGCTGATTCTGTAAATTTGGCTATTGCATTTTGGTGAATTTATTAGCCAGACCATTACTCACCTGTATTACTGCACTGACCCACTGCAGTATTGTTCCCTTCCAGCACACTCTCAACAATGCAACAGAGTAACTTTTAAAAACACAAATCTGATCATATCACAGTCCTCAAAATTTCTCAGCAATTCCACCACACTTGGGATGAAATCCAAAATTTACTTGTGGCTCATGAGCTCTCATACAACATGCACCCCTGTCCCTTGCCACCTTCTTATTTGCACTCTGCACTCCGGCTGGAAAGTCACAGGCCCAGAGTTCTTGGTCAGATTCTTCCTGCAGTGCTGGCCACACCTTGCCACCTGCCTCCTGCATTGACCTGCCTGCAGCAAGTACTTCTGGCCACGCAGACTTTCAGTTCTATAAATCCACCTGTTCTATGTCACTTGGATCTTTCCTCTGTGGTCCCTGTGCCTGGAATATGCTCCTCTCCCTTTGTCACTTGATTCTTTCCCTGTGGGGTTCTCTGCTAAGACAAGTACTTGCTCCAGAAAGCCTTTGCAGGTCCTCAAGCCTGGGTTCATTGAACATGCACTCTTCTGTTCTACCTTGTTTCCCCACCTCCTATTTATGCATTTGCTGCTGCTTTAAGATAATTAGCTCATGAGACTCACAGTCATGCTTATTTCCTCAAAACAAAATACAGACAAGAAATATTTATTGAATTGAACATTAAAAATAAATGGACTAGAAGGACTTGTTCCAATATTTGCTGTATCTCCTCTTAGGTTTAATGCAACAGACAAGTCACTTAGTCTCTTGAGCCTTGGGGTCCCTACTGCAGAATAGGAAGAGTATCTTCTACCATCTCCATTTCACAGAAAGAATAGGTAAGCATGCTGATGTCTCAGCACATCTGTTTCCATGCTAGTCCAAGAACAAGGGTTAGTTAGGCTAGATGTATATAGATTGTTAAAATTATAGATGCCCGAGGCTGGGGGAGTAGCTCAGTGGAAGAGCTTTTGTTTAGCAGGTACAAGGCCCTGGGTTCAATTCTCATGACCACCCACAACAAAAGCAAATACCAAAAACAATTACAGACACCCAAGCCCCATACTGAGGCACTCTGATTGAATCCAGTAGGTCCAAAGCATAAGCTAGAAATCACTAGTTTCTAAAATTTTCCAATCAACTCTGACAGGCACTGAAGTTTGAGAAATACAAACATGGTGTGTTTGAAAATGCATGATAAATTATAGATCAGTACAAGTGCCCATTATCATGGTAACCTTTCAGTGTCACAGCACCAAATTCAGTTCTGTTGGCGGTAAATTGTTATCATACATACTTGGTGATTCTGTACTTTCATCTTCTGGAGTGTCTGATGTGGACAACAGCTACAGGAAAAAAATGCATTAAGTTAAAATAGAAACTTTATTCTGCCCATTGTAAGAAAGAAAAGGTAATCAATAGACCTATTTTATTAAGTTTTTTGCAAACTGACTTTCTTAGTTGCAAAGTATTTTTTAAATCAAAGGCAATATTTCATTTACACTCACCAGTGATTTCACAGGCCATAACTAATAGAATGTGTGTGTCTGTGTTTCTACTAACAAATAAAACATGTTTTCATTGAGGCAGGAAAGGACTACAGCTTTTCAGGGATCTGTCAGCCAGTCAGTCGGCCTTTCATGCACAGGTCCCATGTTCCCTGGCTCATCCTTTGGGATAGATCACACCTGTATCAGTTCCACTGACCCTGGATAAGAAGGTTTTGAACCTCGGACTATGAGTTCTGATTTGCTTTTCCAAGAAGATCAGAAAGAACAATTAAATTCTTCCCCAAATCACGTACATAGTAAATGTTTTACATAGAAAAAAATTACATAATAAATCTATTAAATGTTATTCTCCCAGCTGATTTTTTTCCTCAAATAGTTGAATTCGATTGGACAAATACTTAAGAGAAACATAACCAATATAATTTTCTGCAGGTTATTCATATTCATCTATTTTCCTCTGAAGGATCATCTCCAATTTAAAAAGCAAAGATGCTTTTAAAACAACTCTTGCCTTTTCAAAAAAATCTTTCCTCTGTCCAGAAAATAATTCCTCTATTGGCAAACTATGATTTAAAAAAAGAAAAAGGCTTACCCTACCTGCTCAAGCAGATGAGGGAAACTGGCTTGAACTTGATTCACAAACTCTTGTCCTTTAACTCTTATCAAGTACTCACACCTAAAACATAAACACAGTTTAGAAGTTTATTTGATAAGAGTGAAATGAACATTGAACAAATTCCTCATCTCTAGCTGTTTGCTCCGTTTGAAATCTGGTTAAGTGCCCTAAGTCACAGAATTATTTAAGATCACTGATTCTAAACTTAAAGATAGAAGAATAAATAAGTCCTTCCCCACTGGGAACTGATTCTATGCATTTCTTTCTTTTTAAAAACATCACTGTAAAATCAGCCTATAAATATCCCACAATAGGATCAGATTTGCATGTGTGTGCATGTGTGTGCATGTGTGTGCACGTGTGTGCATGTGTGTGCACACTTGTGTTTGTGTGTGTGCATGTGTGTATGTGTGTGTCTGTGAATTTTTAAACTTATTTTTAAGGCACCACCTATCACAGATAATATGAATTTGATTTACTGGTAGTACTTTTTCATATAGTTTGAATATTTTACAAATTTTGGGTTATATTTTCTAGGATATATCATGTTTCACCTAATTTAGAAATGCCCGAAATGTTTATCTTAATTTAGGCGGACCTAATCTAGCCTCGGGTGATATTTTACATGAACATACACATTCATATCACAATAAGTGATAAGAGATGCTAAGGTGAAACCAGGCTGATGGAAAAGAGGAAGGTGCAACCTGTGCTCTGCCAAGGCTGGGTGGGAAGGGCCAGGAGTCTCAGCTGACTGAGTCCAGGCTGTCTCCACTCAGACTCCTCACTGCTCTTGTCAACTGTTCTAAGAGTCTTAAAAAGTACCCTGATGCATGACATCAAAAAACAGAAAATGGATGGATTAAGAAAATGTGGTGTTTATACACAATGGAATTTTATGGAGCCATGAAGAAGAATGAAATCTTATCATTCGCAGGTAAATGGATGGAACTGGAGAACATCATTCTGAGTGAGGTTAGCCTGGCCCAAAAGACCAAAAATCATATGTTCTCCCTCATATGCGGACATTAGATCAAGGGCAAACACAGCAAGGGGATTGGACTTTGATCACATGATAAAGCGAGAGCATGCAAGGGAGGGGTGAGGATAGGTAAGACACCCAAAAAAACTAGACAGCATTTGTTGCCCTCAATGCAGAGAAACTAATGCAGATACTTTAAAGCAACAGAGGCTAATAGAAGAAGGGGACCAGGAACTAGGAACTAGACAAAAGGTTAGTTTGAGAAGAATTAATTTAGGAGGTTACACACATGTACAGGAAAGCAATTCGAGTCAACTCCCTGTATAGCTATCCTTATCTCAACTAGCAAAAAACCCTTGTTCCTTCCTATTATTGCTTATATTCTCTCTTCAACAAAATCAGAGATAAGGGCAAAATAGTTTCTGCCTGGTAGTGAGGGGGGTAGGGAGGGAGAAGAAGGGGGCGGGGGATAAGGGAGGAGGTGGGGGGGAAGCGGGGAGAAATGACCCAAACATTGTATGCACATATGAATAAGAGAAAAAAATAATAAATAAATAAAAGCAGTATTAAAAAGATTAAAAATAAATAAATAAAAACAGAACATGGAAATAGGTAGAAAGTTCTCTAAATAAGTGATTCTCATCTCCATGACAGTTGTAAAAAGCTGAAGACTTACAAAGAGGGACAAGAGAGAAAGAAAAAGAAAACCAAACACATATTCCAATATTCACAAGTTTGGCACTTCCTATCCAACATCAAATATAAGTGCAAAATGAATTCACGGTACTACCAAAGTAAATTTACTATTTTTTTTGGAGACTCACACAATGGAGAGCACTTTTTAAAATCTATGTGAGTGTTCTTTATAACTTCATGATATCAAAAATCTTTAATAGTTAGGAAGCACAAAATTGCTAGAAATGAAGATAAGTGCTATATGAAAAATGTATATAATGAAAATAATTTTGGACATCAAGGTTAGTAATCAAGATTAAACAGTACTAAAAGTTTTGACCATGAAAAATGTAACTATAGGCCATGAGTTTGGATGAAGTGTAGACTTGTCAAAAGGGTGAGATACAACAACAAAACACTACGTAAGGTTAACCAGATGACGTGAGTCTACATTTACCCCAAAACCCTACTAACTATAGCAACCTTACTCTGTTCTCCTTTGTCTTTTTTATCTGTGACACTTACTGTCATCCAACGTGCTACATAACTTACTAAATTTGCATTGATGTCTGTTTTCTTCTGCTACAAAACAAGCTTATGAGACCTGGGCATCATTTTTTTTTTTGGTTCAACTAAATATTTTATGTACCTAGAGCAGTGTGTGGCAACAGATGATCTATTACAGAATATTGAATGAATGGAAATATGTCCAAGACATATGTTGACTGAAAAAGTTTTAAACTGTACATAATGTTTAAGTGATTGGGATTTGCTACAAGTGCTACTAGTATGTAAAATTATACAACTTCATTGTCTATAAAATGTATATATAAATTGCATACATGAGCGTGCTTAAGGAGATATTTAGAGGAATGATCACCAAATAGAAACCATGGTATCTTTAAGTGGTGAGATTTTTGGGCATTTAATTTTTCTTTCTCTGTGCTGTGTGTGTGTGTGTGTGTGTGTGTGTGTGTGTGTGTCTAAGATTGGGGTTTGAACTTAGCTTCACACTTGCAAAGCAGGCACTGTACTGCTTTTCATACCTCCAGTCTATTTTGCTCTGGTTATTTTGGAGGTGGAGTCTCATGAACTATTTGCCCAGGCTGACCTTGAACCATGATTCTTCCAATCTCAGCCTCCCAAGTAGCTAGGATTACAGGCATGAACCACCAGCACCCAGCTCACTGTACTTTTGTAAAACTGTCTTTATAATGAGCATCTATTATATAATTTTAATATATTTCTAAAAATATTAAACAAAAAAATTCCAAACCTATTTCTTCTTTGCCTTAAATATTTCAAATCTTTCCAGTAATTATTTTTTCTAAGTAACCCCTCCTAAACTTATTCACAAATGTATCTTTGAAATCAATGATTATAAGGTAAACTACATACAAATCCTTCTCATAGTAGTCACAAAGGTTTGCAAAGAGAATTTCAAACCGTTTACCTTGGAAACCACTTGGCATGTTCCACCCAGGGATCATCTCCCAACTCCCAACACCTCAGTCCACCGTCACAGCAAAAGCATTTCACATCATCACTGTGACCTAAAATTGATTTTCCAACCAAAACTTGTAAATACATATAATTTGCCCCATGTGTAAGATAAAACATGTTGAATTTTTTAAATGATTAATTTAAGTTTCTTACCCACATAATAAAAACCCGCACTGGCAAGTTGCTCAGGTTGAACCAGAACACTTGCAGGCCAGTTAAAGAATGTCTTGAAGCGAGCTGCGTGCGTCTGCATGCTCAGGTTGGACACAGAGTATCTCCAAGAGTCTGGGAACTGATTTCCTACAAAGGGGCAGCTGGGGAAATGCCTGCGGTGTTCTGACATAGCATCATCCTTGGGTTCCCAGTTACTTAGCTTTCCACCACAGGCAAAGCAGGCCACTCTGTCTCCAGGTCCTATGTAGTAAAAGCCAGCTTTGGCCAGCTCTGTTGGTGACAGGAAGGTCAGTGGCCACGCTTGATAAGTGAGTAACCTGGCGTTCTCAGAATTCATTGCACACTGGTAGGGACTTGTCCTGAAGGCAAACAAATCTTGATTTGATCTGAAGTTCACAGGATTTGATGGAAAGCTTTCATAAGAGGCACTGAAATAGACACTGTTTTCCAGACTTGGGAGAAACGAAGGTGCAGAATTTGTTGCTGAAGAAGAAAAAGAAGGCCGAGGGGTGGTTTCCACATTGTTGACTGAATTTAGACTCTGAACAAAACTGCAGCTGGGGTACAACTTTTTATGCTTTTCAATAGGACTGTCTCCTTGTTTCCAGTTATCCAGCATCAGGCCACAACAGAAGCATTTGACCTTGTCGTTCACACCAGTGTAATAGAAACCAGCACGAGCAAGACTCCGTTCTGAGACAGGAACCCCAGAGGGGAACGTGGAATATGTGGACATCCGGTACAGTTCACAGGACAAGTCATACTTCAGTTCAAACGTGTTGGCACTTTTCATCAGATTTGATAGGAAGATGCTATTTTCTACTACGTTCATGGTGAAGTTGACGGGGAGGGAAAGGGACCAGCCTTTCTCTGGGGAGGTAGTTTTGTGCATGGCTTTTGATTTGTTCTGTCTCACCATGAGGCTGAACACTGAAAATGAGAAAGCTTTCATGTTTTTCTTTTATGCACTTTTGGGTTTTGGCACAGTGAGATTCTAAATCCTATGCTGACTGAGGGACACTTTTGTATGACTTACACATACAATGTAGAAATAGTGCTACAGAGTAACCCATGATGACAATTAAAGCCCTTCCTGGAGGTGATCAGGAAGTCATTTTATGCCGGGCATCTCCACAGGGCGGACGGCTCCAGAGGCCCCTGGCACAGTCAGTGGTACTCATCCAACCTCTGGGAACAATGTCTGACTCCCAAAGCTGGCTTCTCTTTGTGGGGGAAAACCATGCCCCACAAATGTTCTACAACATAAACATTTAATATGTCTATTTTGCTTCTCTGGAAATTGTGAAATTTGATAGCCGGGAAAAAAAATTAAGACCTTCCTCCTAGGAAGAAAAGAACACATTACCATAGTTCACACACAGTTTCTCACAAAACGCCAAGATGGATAATCAAATTATATAAATTTTGTCTTGGGAATACTATACCCTGAACCAAAATTTATCATGATTAAAAAAATAAATTTACTTAATCATTTTAACAGCAGGGACCTATAATTAGAATTTCTGAATTATGACCTGCAAGCCATCAGAAAGCAGACTCTGTCAATAATCCCAGCAATGACCAAGAAACAAGTCCCATGGGCTGTCCACGAGTGATTTGCAAGCATGGCTTCCCTGAGCTCACAGAAGTGGGTTTCCTTCTGCAGACTTCAGTCCTTCCTTTCCAGGTGGCAGGAGAAACACCAGAGCTGTTGCCAGTGATTATTCCCCTCTAAGTAAATTACTGTGACTAACTTCATCATTCCCTTCAATGGTCAAAAGGTTTACACACTGTTACAAAATGCTTTCCTTGTCTTTGTATTTTCTTTCCAAATGAGTTGGTTATTTTACCAAAATGTAACCATTTAGCCATCATTCTCATAGGTAACAGCCTATTTGAACAAACGAAATTTTCCACTTTTAAAATATCGTGACCTTGTAAGTGATAGGATTACCTTTTACCATGCATTAGGTTTAACTTCCTGCTTTCCTCTAAATTTTCTGTACCTACCAACCAGTTCTGTTCTTGACAGTCTTTGTCATTGCAGGAGTCTTTCAACACGTACAAGGTTTCCCTGGCATATTTCTCTACTCTTGCTGAGAGCTGAATATTAGCTCTCTGTTCTGGATGATGGCCACTCATTTTCAAATCTTTCCCAAACACAGGTGCTTTTTTCTTACTCTTACACAGAGGCCAGCAAGAGCTTGTCTAGCCAATTTTGAAAAGATTACTTCACCAATATGCTCCCATTACAATTACTTCTTTTCTTCCACAAATCAAATTCACCAATCAAAATCACTAGTTACACCTCATCTAATAAGATTCTATTTTTTAAATTAACATTCTTTAAATAATAAACCGAACATCTAGTTAACAATTAATTTGTTTGCCCATGCACAAAACTACCTCCCGAGATTAGACTGAGTCCCTTTTAAGGGGATTAGGTCTCCATTTTGAGATGTATTTGTTTACAGAAGAAACTGGAAAAAAGCCAGAAGTAGTGGAATAGTTTGTGTCCTTTGTAAATCTGTTTAAAAGAGAAAGAGAGTGAGTTTTAGAATTCATGTAATTCACAGGTATAACACAATGATCCTTTTCTTAGAGCACTGGTGTGTACTAACAACTGTCCACTATGTGTGTACTCTTAATATGTCTACAAAATGCTATATTAGTTGGGGCTGGAGGGGTAGCTCAGTCGTAGAGCACCTGCCTCACTTTTGAGCATGCCCAGTGCCCTGGGTTCGAACCCCAGCACTGAAAGAAAAAGGTTGCTGGACTAGGTACCATAGAGACCAAGAAATCCCACACAGAAACTAGAGGTCTCAAACTTGTGGCCAGTAGATGCATTTTGTCTGTCTTGTACAGAACCGGAGTACAATGTCTTGCCAATTTTTTTAACTTTTTATTTTGAAATTAACTTACACTTAGAGAAAAATGTACAAAAATAAGATCATAAAGTTCCAGTGTTTTCTGCCCTCAATGTCCTCAAGGTTAACACCTTATATAACCACGGTACAATTATAGAAACCAGAAGAAACCTTTTTCCTTTTTTATTCCCCACTAGATCAGAGTTTCTGAAACCCTTTTCGTAATTTTTCAGGAGTTAGGGTACATTGGTTTATTCCTCTCGTGCTAATCTTTTTATTGTAATTATTCAGGCATATTAATTATACAAATTAGTGGTTTGTGATGTCTCCAGACATGCATATACGGTGCTTCACGCTTTGCTACTCTCCCTTCTATCCTCTCCCCACATTCCCTTCTCTAATAGTCCCTCCTCAGAAGAAGCACACCATACTTGTCTTTCTATGCCTGGCTTACTTTGCCTAACATGATGATCTCCAGTTCCATCTATTTTCCCGCACATGACATAGTCGTATTCCTCTTTATGGCAAATTGTCTATTGTGTATGTACACCTCAGTCTCTATCCATTCATCTTTGGTGGGCACCTAGGGTGATTCCACACCTTGGCTACTGTGAACACTGCCACAGTAAACGTGGGAGTGGTATCTCTATTGAATTCTGATCTCATTTCCTTTGGGTAAGTACCCAGGAGTGGTATCGATGGGTCATATGGCAGTTCTAGTTTTAGTTTTTGAGGAATCTCCATATAGTTTTCCATTCTCACCAACAGTGTATAAGGATTCTTTTTCTCTACATTCGTGCCAGCATTTGTAGCAATCAGAAAATTAAACTGACAGAATGCTACTAGTTAACCTTCATGCCTTATTTGAATTTCACCAGTTCTCCAAATCTGTTTTTTCATGGACCACAATATTTTTAAATTATTACTAACTTTTTTTTTTTTAACTTCTCCTGACAAGTCATATCTGGCCACACCAAACCTGCATTCCCAAGTGGCACCATTCAGCCTGGCAGCAGCTGCTCCCTCTACAACAGGCACACTGTCTCCATTTTGTCACTGAGCTTTGACTCCCTGATACAGAGACTGCCACTGGCCTAGCACTGTTGTTTCTCTTGCAGTACAATATGAGGAGAGGGAAACTGGTATAGTAACTGTGTCTATCAAAAGTAGCAAATATGAAAGTTAGATGAAAAGGGACACAGGTTTTATGAAAAGTGGAAGAACCCTATTTCTTTGTAGAAAGGAGGAATATTCATTCATGACAAACACATAAACAAAGAATACCGTTGTTTAAAAGAGCCACCCACAGTTTTGCCAGGGCTTTGTGTGCATTTGGATTTGAAAACCCTTGACACAGATCTCACCCTGATAAAGAAGCTTTGGTGTGGAAACAAGGCACATACTTGGAGAAATGGAGGCAATGATCATACAGAGAATATACAAAAATATGCAGATGTCATCCCTGGATCATTTCAACAACTGGCTGACTGACCCATTTCTACCACCTAGACTTCCTAATGTTCCTAGAGAAGATCAGTAGCCCTGCAGATGAGGCCACCACCACTTCAGACTTGTCCTTGCCCCTTAACAAGCTGTACTGCGAGCTGGGTGCTGGTGGTTCATGTCTGTAATCCAGGCTGAGATCAGAAAGATCATAGTTCCAGGCCAGCCTGGGCAAATAGTGGGATCCAATCTCAACGGAAAAAAGCTGAATGTGGTCGTGTGCACCTGTCTGTCATCCCAGAGACAGCGGGAAACATTAAATGAATTGGGTACCAGGCCATCTTAGGCAAAAAGTGAGACCCTATCTCCAAAATAACCAGAGCAGAACAGGCTGGAGGCATGAATTAAGTGGTAGAACACCTGCCTAGCAAGCTTGAAGCCCTGAGTCCAAAAGTCCCCAGTACACCAAAAAAAAAAGGAAGGAAGGAAGGAAAGGGGGAGAGGGAGAGAGGGAGGAAGAAAGGGAGGGAGGGAGGGGGGAAGGGAGGGAAGGAAGGAAGGAAGGAAGGAAGGAAGGAAGGAAGGAAGGAAGGAAGGAAGGAAGGAAATTCACGCCCAAAATCCAAGCACTCTGAAGGTTGAAGCAGGAGAATCTTGAGTTCAAGGCCAGCCTGAGCTACCTAGAGAGACCCTGTCAAAGAAAAGGAAAGAGAATTTCTGCTTTGCCCTACTCAGCAACCTACCATTGCCTTTGTGCAACCCTTCTAAGCCTCAACTTTCCCATCCCTGTGTTCACTCAGTTGCCTTCTCTTCCTGAAAGAGGAGACCTTGTGAGCAGTAATCTTTGCACATCCTCATGGCGCTGCCTTTTTGCTCACTCCCTACCAGCTGCTCAGTGAAAGACAACCCCATATGGGATCCACCGTGTCCCCACAGCTGCACCTCCCCTCACTTCAAGTCTCACTCTCCACCTGCTCTTTCCCTTTCACCTAACAACCCTGCTGCAGTCCATCTCAGCTTTCAAATGAAAACAACCAAAAAATGCCTCTTCCAACCCCACTATCCATGCTAGCAACTGCCCCTTCCCTTATCCACCTTCACAGCCCACATACAGGGACAACGTCTCTGCTTTCCCCTCTCCATCACTCTTGGCACCAGCACCACTTGAAAAGTCCTTGATACAAGTAACACCGGTGGCGCCTTTGCCAAAGCCAATGGAAATGTTTGCAACTGACAACAGTTCACTTCTTACACACACTTTGCTTCCTGGGCCTGTCCAACAGCACTGTCTTGGAATTGCTCTCTCTTCTCTACAGGCTCCTTCAGAGATGGGCTCAGGTTCCAGTCTCTTTTCTTCCGCTACTATGTCGGGGTTGGGGGGTGCAACCCCTCATCCCAGGGCTGTTGGGTGGCCCCACCCTCTGGGGCACCAGGCATATCCGTCTCTCTGACACTGAAGCCAAGTGTGCCTTTTTTCTCTGCCTCTAGCTAGACAGCGAGCTCCCTCAGAACAGGAACTATGCTTTACTTCCTTACCAACCCTCTTGCCCCAACACCCACAAAGCTGACATGTCAGGCAGACACTGAGAAGAAAACAGGCAACTCAAAAAGCCCTGCATGACCACAGAACCCTGTTCACATGGTGTCAAGGACATCAGTTCGTGATGGTCCAATATCAGGCTTTGGAGTCA